CATTGTCTTTTAATATAGCAGAGAACGATATTTGAAACACTGTTATTGTCTTTATAACTTACTATGTTAATGGAGTGTGTTACTAAATAATACATGTTTATTTTCCTGTTTATGACTGACTTGTTTATAACTAACACAATTGATCGTCCATGTATAAGGCCCCCGTGCGTATAAGCCGCCCCCCCTAAGCCCATCAAAAATCACTTACCAAAGAATATAAGCCCAGGGCTTATATTCAGAGGTTTTCATAAACACATTTTTTATATTATATTACATTAACATATACCGGGGTGTACCAAAATAAACGTAATTCATCCTTTGTGCTTAATATACGCTTTTAGGCTTATTTCAAAGCCTGTTCTTTTCTCTTTCAAACAAACTATTATTCTTGTCTTCAATGCTAGTAATAATTGCACAGGAAAAGATTTAGTAAAACCTATCATTTTTAGTTGCTGTTTAATTATGCAAGTTTACTATGTTATTGTTTAGTCGGTTTAAATGTTAGAATTTTCTTCTTTAAACTTTAATGTTGTCGTCACTGCATCTGGAAAACCACGTAAGAACAAATTAAAAGTATTTTAAATGAGACCAGGTTGTTTGAAAATCCTAAACGATTGCTAAAAATCGTCAAAACATTCTGGTGTCTGAGCCAGAGTGTCATCGAATTGCGATGTAATGTACACAGAAATTATAGCAAGTTTCGTCTATTATTTGTTTAGCAATTTACATTTCAGTCGAGGATTTCGCTTTTTTTATACACCCTGTATACATGGAGCGCATATAAAGTCTTTAAATGACAGTACATTGTGTTTGTAATTATAATTACCATAATTACTTGTGTCGAAAGTAAGAAATGAAGTGAACAAATCCATATATATTTGTTGAAAATTTCTTGCAGTGGGTATCTTCCATTTGTTTTTCATGCTTCACACTGTGTATCTTTGAACATTTAATCAGGAACTAATCATAGGCAAGGATATATTTACTAGCTCATTTCTCCATATTACCAGGTACATAATATGGAAATTATACATCAACCTTGCAATCCAGGCTTTAACCCCTGCAGTTGCCCCTCTCCTGCAGCATGTTTGGGAAGGGAGAAGAAGGAATGAAGGTACTGTAATTTCTATATTTAGTCCCCTTCTCTTCAAGCCCCTCTCCAATACCCCCCCTAATTTGGGTACACAAATAAAAACTAAATACGCCCCCCCCCCTCATTTGGATGCAAAAATAAAAAATAAATAAGCCCCCCTCCTCTTTTAACCACGCAGCCCTCATTCAATTTCTTAAAATCATGAAATATATTGCATTTCTGCAGTATTTTAATAAAATATAGTACAACGGTAACTCTGAATATGGACATTTTTTAATGGTAACCAGACTTATTGCATATATTTAGAACAAGTGCCCCTTCAATCACGGGCAATACGCGCCCCAGTACGCCCTACTTATTTTTTTGCTTGCTTAACGCCAGACGATTTTACTCCTCAGTAGGGAAGCTCTGCAGCTTAATGGCAATAACCTAAAAATCTGACAATGTCTCTAGTTAACCCATTGAGCCGCAATGTGCCCTAGTGCGATCTACTTATTTTATTTACTTGTCTACCGCCAGCAGTGGTGTAACTTTACTTTTTTGACCACTTGCCCTCAGGGCAAGTTGGTCATAAACATTAGTTGCTCTGAATCAAATTCACTTGCCATCAGACAATGGCCACTTGGGGTACCTAGGTAGGAAGTATAAGTTAAGGGGACAACATGTCAACCTGTTCTCCCACTGCGTTATATCGCTATGTTATACTGCCTCAGATATAGCTTTGGTGCACAAAAAATGAAATTTGAACAAAGTCCATGCACTATAAAACAAAATATATCTGACAATGAATAGTGGCAAGGCAACTTGCCCAATCGGGTAGCAAGATAAAGTGTTTACTTGCCCATCATGATATTCACTTGCCCCAGGCAAGTGTTAAGTTACACCTCTGGCCAAATGATTTTACTCGTCGATGGGGAAACTCCAACTCTACAGCTTGATGGGTTAATATTCAAATTGATTGAGAAATGTCATTTAGAAGATTACATTGTGCCTAAACAAAGCATTAATACTGTGCCAAATCCTGGGTCATTATATATAGTATATATGGAAAATTTTAGTTTGGCATTAGCAACATTTTGGGTCAATTGAGGCAGTATCTTAAGTTTATTTATTTAGCTTTGCCAACTCGGTGTCACCACAATAGCATGTGCCTATTACTGTTGGCTCTTTTACATCACCCACCCTGTCAACTTTTCCTCTAGCAGGAAACCAGAGTACCTGGAGAAAATCCATGACGTTCGACAGAGTGTTGACTTTTACTCTTCACATGAGGACTGGGTTTGAGTCGCATTGAGAAAATTCTCACTGAGGCTTGATCCTGCAGCCTTAAAGGTGAGCGGCAAGTGCATATAACAGCTTTGCCACCGAAGCACCCATCTTCCTAAAAAATACCAGCTCAGTTCTATATTATAAAGTAAAACACAAGTTGAAATATATAGAATATAATAACAAAGTCTGGATCTCACCAAAACTGGGCCAGCTCAGGTACACAGGTGCCATCACCTCATATAAACAGCCAATGAATCTACCTCGCTGGATTATATAAAATGATATTTTTCAATTAGGAATATTGGAAAAAACAGTTGTTATGCACCAGTATTTTAAACAGTCTTTTACCAGTGAGAATAGTTGTATTGGATGCAGATGTTACTTCAATTGCATGCTAGCCTTACATTAAACATGTCAAGTGAAAGCATTTGAATTTTGTATTTCATGCTTTGTACACTAACCAAAAATAGGAAATTCATTGTCAATTAATCAATAATTTGCTTCCATTATATATCAACCTTAATATGTATTTTTTTTTCTTAATATAGAGATTGTATTTAATATGGATTCATTATATATCCTGATGCTGAATGAAAAGTTATTAATAAAAGCTTCCCAGGAGAAGGCAAGTTGTCTAAACAAGTGGCAATAAATATATAATCATTAATGGCATTTTAAGTACTGCATAGTCTATTTGGAAAATGTTATTCTTTTGCTGGAGAGTATGTTTATGGATTAACAAACCACACAAGGAATGGAGTTGCTGACTTGTGGTATGAAGCTTGTACTTTTAAATTTTAACTAATGGACTTGTATGACATGCTTGATTGAGCAGTGACACTACATGCAGTACAGGTATATTATACTAACTTGTAAATATTCTACATTGAAGAGAATGTTAACCTTTTATGTGGAATGCGCTCTACCTAATTATTTTTCCTGTTTAATGCCAGACAACTTTTCTGATGAAGGAGAGAGTGCTGCCACTCAATGGGTTAAAGCCAAATTTCTGTAGATGGAAATTTTGAACAATAACTATGTAATAAGTACTGTGCCGGGAATGGAACCTGTTGCCCTGTGATTCTGAACAGTTCCTTAACAGCCGAGAGTCCATCAAGCCCTGAGAGTCCAAGCGCCAAGAATCCATCAAGCTAACCAAGAGTTGATTTATACAATGCTAGTGTCATCCCAGTTTATTTAATATACTACCAGTGACTCCACCATCATGGTATAATTATACAGACAGTTATGGTTACATCTTGGCAAAAGGACTCTTTAAATCAGAGGGCTGCATTAGAATTGCAGGACTGCAGGTTCAATTCATGCTGGCAGGCTTGTAATTGTATTAAAACTGTCTGTACCAGTACCAGTGTGGGTAGTACCAATGTGAAATTGCTGTGCTGAGCGGTTATATTACTACCTGAAAGAAAAAAAAAACCTCAGAAACTCAACGTTTTGAGCAAAGACCCTTCTCTCGAAATGTTGAGTTTCTGCTTGTTTTTTTTTTCAGGTTGTAATATAACAACTCAACACAGCAATTGTAATTGTATTCCTTTGCAATTGCTCTCACATAGTTCTAAGGTACCGGCAGCTCTAGTTTATTTAATTTTCTTATTATATTGTATTGACATATTTTTTATTAAATTCCATGTATACATGTTCAGTGATGTAAGGCTCACAAATTTTCTTCATTTTAATGCAATGTTTAGGTTGTGACATTAAATTGGTCGAAATGACAAAACAAATTGGTCGAAATGACCAAAAAAAATTGGTCACCTGGATGCATCTGAGACAACCAATTAAAAATGGTTGTTTTAACCAATAAAATTAACCATTTTATTAATTGGTCAAAACAACCAAAAATATTTGGTTATATAAACCAATTATTATTGGTTGAATTGACCAATTAATTAATGGTTGATTTTATTGGTTAAAACGACCATTTTTAAATGGTTCTCTCAGATGCATCCATGCAGGTGATCAATTTTTTTGGTCATTTCGACGAACAGTTTTTACAGTTTGTTTCACATGTCCCTAAATTTGATTTTATTATTATTTTATTCTGGCTACTTTGTGCGGTATTTTAAAGTCAGTGGCACTCGCGCCAATATTTTTATTTTCTTATTTTCTTAAAATGCTCTTAAACTGTATAGTAACTTGTTTTGAAGATTTTGTTCCCATGCTTAATTCTTGAGATATTTCATTTTGTTTATGTAACGTCCATGACTCAATTACATATATAATGAGACATCAGTAATTGTTGTGTATCTTTGCTGTTTTTGATGGATTTGTTTAAAAACACAGTATATGTATGCCTAATGATGTAGGTTAACTTAAGAAACGCGCCGCATCTTTGAAAAGATTTGATATAAAAAATAGCAAAGATATACAACAATTACTGATATCTCATTATATATGTAATTGAGTCATTGACTTCACATGGTTACAGACAAGATAAAATATCTCAAGAACTAAGCATGGGAACAAAAATCTTCAAAACAAGTTGCTTTACAGTTTTAAGAGCATTTTAAGAATATAAGAAAATAAGAAATTAAAAACTTTAACGCGAGTGCCACTTTAAAATGACCATAAAATATAATCCTGGAATAAAAGGAAATATAAGGTTACATATACTTACGCTTGGCAAGCTTTCCGATGTGCTTCGACACAATTATCGTATATTGCATTTGATTGAGTTCCTTAGAAATAACGCAAATAAAATATAGTTAGAGAAAAAATTGAATGGTATTTTTAAAATTCACGGAATCATAATTTACAAATATTTAATATTTCAGGTAACGTTAGGAAAATGAGCCTATAGTTGGACCATTTGATAAAATAAAGAGGAATCGCTTGCAAATTTACAGATTTTTTCTGATATTCTGACCGTCGGAAGTCTTTAAAATTGGCCTCGCGATAAAAGTGTACACGTAGTGGCATTTTAAAGACGACAGGCTTCAAAATTTTTAGGAGATTCCCGGCTTTGATGACTCGACGGAGGAAAAATATCAGAACAGTATTTGAGCACGTTATCAAGTCGTCTGCAAAACTAGAAATTCATGCAGTTGATGGAAAAGATTATAATTATGTTGGAGTTGGGCGTTTGAATACACAGCGTTGGAAGTCGAGGCATTTTTGTGTGTTAAATTGTGCCTCGTTAGACCATTATTTGGTGGCTCCAAAAAGGGTAACCGGTGACCGTCTTATTATTTTTCGTTATTTTGCTAATAATTTAATAGGACTTTTCAGGCCGATTCAATTGAAGTAATTCTGAGCCGTAAACAAATTTTACTTTTTGGCTATTGAACCAAAATTCGACTCTCTCGGACATATGTTGAGTGCAATAGTCGAAAACGTTTCGCCACAACTTTGAAATGTTTTAACCGGTCGCATGGCTTTCATATAGTACAATGAGTCTTGATTTAACTTTGAAGAAGAATTTATATATTCTATGAAAAATTGTGAAATATAGGGCAAGTTTGCTCTAAATGTTTCAATTTTATGTGTTTTATTGTTTTATTTTCGTGGCGTTAATCATGCACCGCACTTCTTTTATTTTTAATGTGGCTGGAAAATTACCCTGCATGCTCAGTTTAAGAAGAAAGACTAAATAATTACTGAAATTATGAGAGGCCGCGGAAGTATTTCAAAAGTGAAGTGGTATTGGTAAAAAGATGCACTTTTGTATATGATCATGACCAATAATAGTCAAATGCTGTTATGTCACAAATCGAACGAAAAGTTTTGAAAATGTGCAGTCTTTATAACGTCAGAAATGGCCTTTACATAGTCTTAAGAGCGGTTGTCTGTAATAGTCAGGTAAGACGTGTAAAATGAAAAAATTCAAAATCTTTCAAACTTTGTCAGAATGTAGGCCTATATGAAGTATTAATGCTGTGAAAGTTTTATTTCGATTCGATAAATATTAAAGGAGAGAGACGTCGAAATTGGTTTTCCCAGGCCACTTTCGGTTTTTAGAGGTCATTTACGGCACTACCAAAATCGCTCTATTTTGCACGATAATGGCAATATTTCACAAAATATGATTTCGTTTTATAAATTAGAGTTCTTTATTGAGTAGCAGACGAAATTTAGAGACATTTCTGTTAAAAGTGAATGTTTTACAGATTTTCTTAATGGTTTTTATTTTTGAACCTCTTTATTATATGCCATATTAGGCAGCGAATATCTCCATTGTTACATCGATTCAGACAAAAAATTCATAAACAGGTCAAAGAAATATGTTTTCGCTTGCTATTCATCAAAATAAAATTTTGGGGCAACTTAAAATTGATTTTTTTCGTAACCCCTATTTGACCCGAATAACCGTATGTTATGTAATCAACGTCGAGTCATGTATAGTTCTATAAATAACCAAAGAGCTCGTCAAAAGCGTTTATTTCTTCAAGTAAACAAGCCTAGGCTTATAAAACTAACTTAGCTAAAGCTGTACGATTGGCAGAAAGCATTTATATATATATATAAACTGTAGGGAAACGTCGCATTACAACAATTACAACAAGATGAATCGGATGTATCTTTTACTTTCCCCTACATTGATTTTTACCTGATTCATTATTGCTCGGTGTGCTATCCTCGCTTTCCGGGTTGGTAAGAAGACTTGATATGTTAAGTTTTGTCGTGACCTCAGTTTCGTTTACAAATAGAAACTCCTAAGAATTAAAATATGGTGGTACATGTAACATTGATAAGAATAAAGATTATAGGACAAGACAAAGGCAACATGGGGACCAAAGCGTGTGTCAATCCCACGACGTAAAACAGGACGTTGACAGAACAAGGACAAAGATAAGTTTAAAAATAAAGATGGAAATAAAACAAGTGTAAAGATATAAAGACCGACATCGATAGAAATTAGAACACATTACCTTCGAGAAAACTGATACTTCAAACAAAAGGAAATTTGTAAGGTCAGCTGTCGATGCAGACTGGATTGAAGCCGAAACTGATACTGATGTTGTTGTACTATCACTTGTATTTGAAGGAGCGAAAAAATTAATTTCGATATTGACTGAATCATTTTTTCCCACAGTAACAATCTCAGGTGAATACGAAACGACAAATGATTTATAATCCGACACCAGAATTGAAAAAGTGTTATTCGAGCCGTGATTTATCAAAACTACAATAATTGACGTCATTTTGTTTGGTGTTACACTCAAACTGTTGTTCAGTACGGATAGTTCAACTTCAAATTCTTGTGGTCTAATCACTCGAGGTTGCACACGCTGGATTGTTTGCCCATTTTTACTGTATCCAACATACAGTATTTTAAATGCATCGTGTTTCATTTGAACTGAACCATAATACGAATTATTGTAATATTCTTGTCCTTGCTGTAATTCGAAACTTTCCAATCGATATCCTGCAGTATCTATTAAGTACCCTGTCAGGTTTTTGTTGGCTTGTAGTACATCTTCCGTTGGTTCTACCGTCACGTACAATGACATTCCTGCACAAAATGATAAAAAAAAATTATTGAGGAATGCATAAAATTGTCAAAAATTGTAATTATTACTTTTAATGTTAAATTCCTATTTTCCCGCGATTATTACTGGGTTAATTCGTGCTGGTCTTGAAAAGTTAAATTCAAGGATTAATTAAGGAGTTTTTCAAGGAGTAATAACAATTTTAAAGGAGTATTTAGGGTAGTTTCTTTTAAGAAAGACAGACAAGAACATGCCATTTTCGACGATTCTAATGATTCGGGAAAATTTTGCCCTTGCACCCCTGAAATATGGGACCCAAGACACCTCCGGCGAATGTGATAGCATGTCAGTTCGAAATTTCCGAGTTTTAATGTAATAACTATGTTGGCAAGCTACACTCCAGTTAAACAATTCGTACTAAATGCCACGAAAATAGAACGGTGAAATCTTAAAATATGAACAGGTCTGAACATTTTCGCTTCTATACAGTTAACTTAAAATATGGGTACATGCCAAGTACAGTCATTTTTTCAGTTTCTTTTTTAATCGTTCCATCCTTTCATGCAGTTCCTCTGCCTCTGTTTCCATGCTCTTTATTTTTCTTCTGTAGCTATTTACTTTAGTGGCGTGAATAATCAGCCAGATCAATCAGCTTCTTAGCGCTACCATGAAGGATAGAACAATCTTCTACGAGACGTTTCTTTTTTCCTTTGAGCACAAACAGTTCATCTCTTCAGTTCAGCCCGATATCGCGATGACGCATTGTTTGCCACATTTCTGAGTTCTTGATCAATAATGATATTGAGAATTCCTCCACAACGTTGAATGTGGTCGTAAGTGATTCTTAAGGCAACAACTGATCTTTCACTAAAGTTGTACGCCATGATCTCCTTATTAATGCTGAATCCTCTCTACTCCAGGAGCCTGACCACGAGGAAGAGCAAGAAGGCACTTCACTAGCTCCCATAACTGCTTCTAGGAACTCTCCTTCAGATATACAGCAAGGAAGGAATCAATGCGTTTTCTTTAACTTTATCATACTTCTTGAACAAAATCAACACGACTGCATTCCCAATTCCCATGAACAACTTCGGTAACAAATGAAGAATATTGTGTCTTCAACATGTCTGGATTAGCTTCACGTAGCCTTTGAGAATCAATGAAACAGCTGAGCAGCCTCCAAACAGCTTAACTGAAGTTTCAGTAGGACCTGCCACGGCCTGAGGATCGAGACATCCAAGGTACCTAACAACTGGGAACTTTAACGAGCATTTTTCAAGTAGCTTCTCTGTAGTTCGGGAAAGGGATATTTTTCAGTTCATATCAAACTCTAGTTTCTCTCTGTGAAACGTCCTTTTGTTCTTTCAGCCTGCTCAATTCTCTCTTTGTGACAATACCAACAAGTACCGATCGTTAGTCACTGTATGCTGATCTGATGACACATCTAGCTTCACTATCTTTAGGTAACTGGTGCCAGACGTCATTGCATCTCCCTCCATGTATCTAGTCATCACTGCTCTGAGCAATTTCTCAAGATCTGATGCGAGAAATGGTATCATTAGTCTTAATTTCTCCTTGGTACGGAGAAATGGTTCGAAATCCTGAGCCAAAGAGAACAAAAAGTGGAGCTTGCCTTTAAGATCCCTTTAAGCAATTTGTCTGTTGCAATAGCCACCTAATAGATAAAATATTATATCACAGGTAAAATTAACTGGTATTAGGAGAATAAAAACATATTAGGACACACTGCAGCTAAATGTGATAACTTTGCATGGCTGATACACTTGCAAAAATTTAAAACTTATCTATATGATTGCAAAACGTGGATGGAAATATGTCCAGTCCAGTATAGGTAACATAGTCTTCCTGTCTAGCAGGCGAATATTTTAAAAGCTTAAATTCCTTCAGCAAATGCTTAAAATAAATTAAATTTTAAAATTTATTTAAACATTGTGAAAAAATAGAAGAACATGCAGTTTATTTTGTTATCTGAAAAGTGATAGAGTTGGTTAAGTTACACGAGTACTGCCTATCCAAATTCCAGTTAGTTTTCTTTGCCCCAGTCTGAAAAGCTCTGTGAACGATGTGTAGTCCACATGTTCTCATTTCCCAATGACAACAAGGGAGGTAGTTTAAGAGCAACTGCCTGTAAAAACCGAGAATCTCAAGTCAAATGAAAATTTCCAATTTTTTTTATTCCGCCAAATCAACCAATTTAGCCTCGCAAAATATACAAAAAATGGCTACGATTAATGGGTATAAAACGTTCCTGGTACCTAAAACTTTGAAACAAAAATTACAGCATCTAAAAGCCTCATTATTGCTTGCTATACCAAGTTATACCACAAACGTTTCATGCTTGGAATCGAAGTGGTTTTGCATTTACAAATAAAAGTGTGAAGTAAGGTACATCCAATTAGGACGTCACGCCAACCGGCACATAAGCTAAACAGACGTCTAGCCATGGAAAAAACTGATAGTTAAAACATTCTTGAGAATTAACTTGGTAGCTATAGCGTTGGAAGAATACAAAGAATATGACTACAGCTGCGCGTTACGAGATGCATGTTGACCTTTTGAACCGATAAAACCGGAGTATATAAAGCATTATATATCTTAGATAAATGTCACAAAAATGCTAATAAATAACTGCATGTCACAAACGCCGCGGTGTCCACTTAGTGTATGATATTCTTTCATGCAAAAGCATTTTAACCTTAATTTATAATATCTGGGTATAGTAATGATTGCATCCATGCAGTTCATGATCAGGTTCAGCACGTACGAGTTCAAGAGCATGAATCAGAAGTGAAACAAACTTCGATGTCGCATGTTATATTTTACCGTAACGGCGTCCGCCAGTCTGTCACGCTACGGAAGGAATTGAATCAAATACGTAGTACTTATAAACTTGAAATATATACCTTATTATCTGAACATATGTGTTATAAGTTTATTGTACATGCATGTGCAGTGTAGGTATATGTACAACAGAAATTTGGCTTCTGTTACAATGGTCGCAACACTCATGACACTCGTTGGTGTGGCTGCATTCCTGTTTCTATAATCCTTTTGAGCACTTTCACTAAACAGGTAAATGATGCAGTGGTCCGCAACCTGCGAAGAGTTAGTCACGCAAACCTGTTAGTAAATTTTAAACATAAGCAATACTATGGTTATTGTCAGTTGAAATCTTTCCATTATTGTATAGCAAGTGTCAAAGTTCAATTATTGTACTTGCCCATTGGGCAAACCATATCACGTGCCGAATCACAAAACGTCAAAAAAATACTGAAGTAGAAAACTGGGTACATGATTGTCGGCTCTCGACAGCGATTCTACTACGTCATCAGTCACGTCACTACGGAGTCACATGAGAAGCGTGTGCGTGCTTCGCTGATCAGTGCTTGCAGTTTGTTGATCAGAACACTTGTGTGATTTCTCCTCTTTGACTTTGCTAAAATTCAGAAGAATTTTGACGAGTAGGTAAGACATAACGGAGGCTTTCGTGGGACAAAAACCGTAAGTATAAAACTTATATATATGTGTGTATTTTAGTTCCAAAACAGATATGGCGACTGACAACACAGAACAGATTGTTTCACAGCCGAATGACCTCGAGCCCCAGGACACACAACAGTCCGAAACTCCACAATTGGCTCAAACATTAGTTGATCTAAATCAAACTATGAGCCACATGGCAATGATGCTGGGCGACTTATGGCAAAAGTCTCAGGACACAAATGTAGTGTCACTTCAACAACCAGACGTTGAAGAATCCCAGCACAGGCGACGGGGGGGAAAAGCGGCGCTCAAAAACGTCGTCCTCGAGGTCGTCCTCATCTTCAGAAGCTAGCTCGGGTTCTGGAAATGAGAGTCGGGGTCGTAAACGCCGAAAGCGAAGGTCACACAGCAAAACTCGGCTTGAAAATAGGGGCGAAACAACCGATTATGAGCAGGATAAAGTGAGCGTACATGTGCAAGACGATGATGATAATGTATCGGTCTTACTGCAAGATGGCGCCACAAATGACAAAACAAATTCAACCGATGAAACCCTTACGAATTTAGGGGAAATGCTTGAAGATGTTGAAGCTACCGGCGATGATATTACCCCTAAACTGGCTACAATAGCGGAAAACCGATGGAATAAAAAACTAGCGCCTGAAAAGCTAACATTAATTCAAGAAAAATACAAGCGACCCGCCAATTGCACAACAGTATGCTCACTAACAGTAAACCCAGAAATCTGGGCAAAACTGCCGCACTATCAACAACGGGCGGATTTAAATGGCTCGAAAATACAAGAATCGGTTCGGAAAGCCGCCCTTATATCTCTGCAAACAGCTCATTCTTTGACTAATACAAAGTCTAACGAGCTAGATGTGAAACAGCTCTTAACACAGCAAGTTGATTCGTTAGCTTTATTGGGCCACATAAGTTATGAGTTGGCCTGCCTTCGCAGACACAAAATAAAATCCGTTTTGAAACCAGAATATGCCCCAATATGTGTTGACGATGGCACGCAAAGTAAATATCTGTTTGGCGATGATTTACCCAAACGACTAAAAGACGCCAAAGAGGCGAGCAATGTGGGGCTAGCTGTGAATACGAGCAATTCAAGAAACAACAACTATCGGGCGCCAAAAAGCTATGACCAGCGAAATTGGCGCCAAACACATGGGGGGCATTATTACCATGCTGGTACTTCACGGTCGGATTTTTTCCAGCGAGGAAAATCGAACTACAAGGGGAAAAAAGGTGCAAAATACCAACCACCTCGCAAGAAATAATCGCTCACTTAAAGACAATAAATTCATCTGTTTCTTCAGTAAGTAAATGGAAAATTTTTATTCCTATTTTAAAGGATTATTTAAAACTATTATGTGCCAGTTCAAAAGCTGGTCGTATCTCAAATCATTTTTCTGCCTGGACAAGCATAACATCAGATAAAGAGATCTTATCTGATACTCGGGGCATGACCATTGAATTGTCAGGAATGCCAGCCCAACATCGCTTTGTCCAAACAAAATTTAACAGTGCAGAAACTGAGATCATTGAGACCGAAATCAACAAAATGTTGGGGAAAGAAATTATAGAACAAGTCGAACATACAAAAGATGAAATTATCTCAAACATTTTTACAAGACCTAAAAAGGATGGCACTCATAGAGTGATCATTAATCTAAAAGATTTCAATAAACATGTATCCTACTATCATTTTAAAATGGATTCATTAAACACTATAGTAAAATTAGTCGATAATGATTGTTTTATGGCCTCAATAGATCTCAAAGATGCCTATTACTCAATACCTATTCGGGAAAGAGACAAAAAATATTTGAGATTTTATTGGCATAAACAACTTTACCAGTTTACTTGCCTACCAAATGGGTTGTCGAGCGGCCCTAGAAAATTTACTAAGATCCTTAAACCTGCCTTGTCATCATTACACATCAAAGGACACATTGTTTCCAGTCATTTAGATGATTTCTATTTACAGGGCAAAACCCCTGAGGAATGTTGCTCTAATTTAATAGATACAGTGACACTTTTTACACAACTGGGCCTGTTAGTCCATCCTGAGAAGTGTAATTTCATCCCCTCACAAGAAATAGTGATTTTGGGGTTTATAATAAACTCAGTAAAAATGACTGTCAAACTGACACCAGAGAAAGCACTAGCCTTAAAGTCAGATTGTGACCTGTTTATTAAAAAATGTCCTGGTAATATTGAAATTCGAGAAGTTGCTCAAATTATTGGGAAAATAGTATCAAGTTTTCCGGGGGTCCTGCACGGACCTCTTTACTATCGACATTTAGAAAGGGACAAAACCTCAGCTTTAGCTAGGAATAAAGGTAATTTTGATGCTAGAATGACCCTCTCTAAAGAAAGCATATTAGAGTTAAAATGGTGGTCAAACAAAGTAATAGATACATTTAAACCCATTTCACATGGGGAACCTTCACTAGTTATTACAACAGATGCTTCTCTGCAAGGTTGGGGTGCTGAGTGTCAGACTATAGCCACTGGTGGATTGTGGTCACATTTTGAGGCAAACGAACACATAAACTATTTAGAATTATTAGCTACCTTTTTGGGCTTGAAGACGTTTGCAAAAACAAGACGTAACCTACATATAAGGCTAATGATAGACAATACGTCTGCAGTCGGCATTATTAACAACATGGGTACAAGCCATTCTCCTAAATGTAATATTTTAGCCCATCAGGTCTGGAGTTGGTGTATTGAGAGGCAAATATGGATAAGTGCTGCGCATATACCAGGGCGAGATAATTTTATTGCGGATTTTGAATCAAGAAGAAATGAAAAGGCATCGGAATGGATGCTAGATAAACTACGTTTAGCCAAAGCATTAAAAGACTTAGATTACTCACCAAGTATTGACCTATTTGCCTCAAGAATTAATAAACAATTTGATACATATGTTTCATACAGACCAGACCCACAGGCATCAGCAGTAGATGCATTTACTCTAACATGGAGCTCACTCATGTTTTATGCTTTTCCTCCTTTCAGTCTTATTGGGACTGTTTTAAGCAATATCAAGGAAGACAAAGCAAGGGGGTGGTTGTGCTACCAAAATGGCCAACACAACCTTGGTATGCGAAAGCCCTTTCCATGGGGGAAAAACCACCCATACATTTACAAGCGTCAAAAGACCTTTTAATACTTCCCAGCCATCCAAACGAGACACACCCATTGTTCAAAAAACTGTCAATGATGATTTGCCTCTTATCCGGGAAAGTTTAGAGCTCCAAAATCTGTCAGAGTCCACGAAAGAAATTATAATGGCTTCTTGGCGTAAAGGCACTCAGAAACAATCGGGCATTGATACAGATAAATTCACGTGTCACAGCACTCGGGCTGCATCAACGTCGTGTGTCAAAGCAGTAGGACTTAATTTTAAAACAAATAATGCAATCTGCTGGCTGGTCCAATTCCTCTACCTTTGCAAAGTTCTATGATAAACATATTGAAACTGAAAATTTTGGTTCAACAATTCTCAACTCAGCAGATGTTGAAACAGTAACAACAGTTTAAGTAGTTATAATGTAGTTGGGTTACTAAAACAAATACATTTTTGTTTATCCATTTATGTGTTGGAGTGGGTTCTTCACGGTCGCAGGACTTTGAAATCTCATGTGACTCCGTAGTGACGTGACTGATGACGTAGTAGAATTCTAAAATTAAACGAGACTTACCTGTAAGTTGAAGTTTGATTGGGATTCTACTAGTCATCAGTCAGAAACGAAGGAGTCACATACCCAGGTACTCGGTACCATGCCCTTCCCTCCCGTGACTCTTCGTTCCTTATTCCTGCAACCGTTCACGTTAAAAACTGATCAGCGAAGCACGCACGCGCTTCTCATGTGTCTCCTTCGTTCCTGACTGATGACTAGTAAAATCCCAATCAAACTTCAACTTACAGGTAAGTCTCGTTTAATTTTAGAATTTTAGTGTATTAATAATATTGATTCCCTTTTCAGTTTATTAGGCCTATATTGAATTTTTTAAATAAAAAGAAAGCAAAATTATTTGCATGCGAGAATTTGAAATCATTTTATTGCAAACTCAAAGTTTATCGATAAAGCCATTTTAATAACAAAAGGCAGTTTTAAATAGGTTTATAAAGAACATTTTAAAATGTTTTGCGAAGCTTTTGTGGTTGAATTTTACCTTAAATTGAAGCTTATATTACGTATAATAACATACCTAACATATATATGTTGGGAAATTGATAATTTTGTAATTAAAAGTGATATTTTTAGGCGATTTTTCATTTGTAAGAATATTTTTAAAAAATTATCGTGTTACCATGACAACAACTTTGGAATGGTTTTGTCAGCAAGGCGAGGGTTTCTGCATGCATGTATTTTCTAGTAACATGATAATAAGTGAACTGTGAACAACAATTACAATTCAAATACAGTAGTTGATGGGCGGGCGACACACATGACCAACACAACTCGGCAGTCGGTACCAGAGAACGCCCTACCAGATCATGCTGGATCCATCCCTGTATACAAATACAATTTAAAGAATAGAATAATAAAGAATAACAAAGTTTTAAGTACAATTTCATCTACCATAATTGTTTTTATTATACCTTTGCTGATGTGCCAGGACTTTGAATATTGGGCCATTCAATTTAATATAAGCTGCCTCCCCCTCCCTATAGAGGGGTCTGGAATCTGGATATCCTATAGGGGGGGAGGGGGTTTTTACCTTAAATTTTTCTAGAGAGTAGCTTGGGGATATAAACATTTTAGAACCCCCTTGGATGTGATTTTTGGAAGTTACCCCATTGTGGAAGTTACCCCAGGGACCCCTCAACAGGGGGGGGTGCTTATATTAAATGGAATGGCACATTATATGAACGAAAGCTCGACTGAATGAACTTTCCACACGAGATATAGTCTTCAGGTTTTTCTTGTTGGTTTTTTTGGCGTATCAGTAATTTGAGTTTCCTCATTTTCTAAATCATGATCAACAATAACAACATCGCCATCATTAATAGATTCCATTTTTTGCTCCAATAAACTCGAATTCTATAAAAACAAATGATACAATCGGGAACAATATGTTAGAAAAGCTGGCTTGTTTACGTCGCGCTCGCGCCATCTTTCCTGTAGAGTCCTCTTTTCCCGCGATTGGCGACAACAAAAGCAAAATACCCCATTTTCAAACAACGATTACTCGTCGGTTTCAGGGGCCTTTTTATGTTTTAAAGTACTAAGAGAAAGAGTAACCCTTACTGAATCAATGTGAATTTTATTGAATTTCCCGATTTATAAACCATTTAGCCCCCTGCATATATCAAAGCCGTTTTCGTGTCATGTGCACTATACCCGAAATATACCCCATTTTCAAACCGCGATAACTCGTCGGTTGGAGGAGATTGTTAATGTTTTAAAGTATCAGCTAAAACCTTGACCTTTCCGAATTCAATGATGTGAATTTTACTGAATTTCCCGATTTAACTATTTAACCCCTGGCGTATATCAATGCCATTTCTTTTATAGCACCGAAATATACCCCATTTTCAAACCGCGATAACTCGTCAGTTCGCGGGGATTTTTTGTGTTTTGAAGTATCAATAGAAAGAATAACCCTTCCTGCATTCGATGCCGTAAATGATGTTGAATTTCCTGATTTAAAAAGCATTTAATCCCCGGCGAGTATCAAAGCCACTTTTGTGACATGGGTACTGACCCGAAACCAAGGGTAATTCAATGCCAGATTATAAACATAACTGAAACATGATACGACAACCACATAGAAACAAAAATCGTACAATTAAGGTCACAAATAAAATAATTATAAAGACGTACCTTCCAAAAATCAAAATTTTCAGAGTAAAAAATCGCGACAAACAACCACAATTTTTCGACAAACATCTTTCAAAGATTCGCAAAATAAAATTCCGAATATTAATGAGAAGCGATGCATTGTGGTATAGTGATCACTCCTCCTCTGGCCGACACAATAGTGTCACATGCATTCATTACGTACCAAGAAGCTGAAGGAAGAAGTTTGAACTTGCTTGGAGACAAAATTTTCAAAATCATGTCTGCAATTTTTTTGTGGAAAATCTTGATTTTTTCAGCCTTGCTGAGTCTGGGTTTTGGTTTATCTCCAAACGTTAAGGTACAGTTAATCATAATATTACATATTTGTTCTAACAATTTCTTGAACACTTTTTCGGGCCAAAATTTGTCAGTATAAATTTATGATGGTAAATGACGTGAATTGCATACAGTAGCACACGATTTAAATTGCTCACTGGGTACAACAAGTTGTCATGGTTTGGTCTTTGGAGCGTTTTCTGACTCGTGCCTTTGAAATCAGAGGATAAAGCGAAATTCCATGTAAACACTATGTAAAGACAATTAGTAATAAATTAAATAGAAATAATAATTTTGTTAAATTTGTGGCAGTATATAATTATTGTATTCTGCATGGTATTACTGTATAATGATTAATGGCAGGGTTGTAAAGTTATGCTTATATAGTAGTGTGATGAAAATACAACATTTTAATTTCTCCAGTAAATTAAAATTCCTCGTCTACGTGGATAAAAGATTACTTAAATATTAGCATGGAGGATGTACTATTTAAAGCACGCGTAGGAGTGTTTTATCACATATAAAACACGACGCGTAGCGGAGTGTTTTATATGTGATAAAACACGACAACAAGTGCTTTAAATAGCTTAAAAAACGACTCATCTTATATGAGTTCATTGGCGAAGTAATTTTTAAAATAAACTTTGTCTAAACCGAGAAAATCAAAGCTAAAGTTTATGTAAATTAACATGATTTTTTATCACATATAAGGCACGACACGCTTATGATTTTCTTTGTGTTTTCCTCCTGAATTATTAATGAGTTTTTTAACTACATATAAAATCTGATGAGCAGTGAGAAACCTTTTTTTTTCTGTTTCCATATATTGTATTTTTTTCTGTCATTGCATGCGTACATATGAGGCTTCATTTGTGTTTGAAAAAGCCGGGCGACATAAATATACAACTATTTAAATTAAGGTTGTCCCCGAGTAAAGCGGAAAGTCGAATATGAGCGCGAAAGGTTCACTGGGATCACTAAAATATTAATGAATTTTTTAACGATTCCCAGCAAGCCTTTCGCGCTCGTATTCGACTTTTCCTCCATTCCGAGGGACAACTTTAATTGAAATAGCTGTAATAGTTGCAGTCTCTTTGCTTCTAAAAACACTCACAGTCACTGACTCAGCATGTAACATAGTACGCATTTGTGAATAAAAATTACAATATTAAACTGAAATATCAATGCATACATACATTTGAAGTACTAAATTAGTTCCGGCAGATCTATAGTAGTCTATTCTACAAGGTTTGCGATCTGCCCTTAAGGATCAAACATATTTTTTAGAAAGGCAAGCTACATTTATCACACCCACAGATTCTACTTTGCTGGGATTGAAGAAATAAATGAAATTGTTCATAGACGATTAGAACTCTGCAGCACTATTATACAACATACATGCCAAAAGAATGAAAGTTGTACAGAAAAATTATTATGAAACGTGGCTTTACCATAATTTTAGGATATTTTTAATCTTCGTATTTGGATAGTATAAAATGAAATTTGAGAAGTATGAAGTGTATTTAATCACATTTAATAACTTCCTTTAGCAACAAGGCCTATAATTAACAATTCTAAATGGTTTGTGAACATGCACTAAAGTACAAATTTGTATAGTCAAGTACAAATTTATATAGTAAGTACAAATTTATATAGTCAAGTACAAATTTGCATAATCAAGTACAAATTTGTATAGTCAAGTACAAATTTATATAGTCAAGTACAAATTTGTATAGTCAAGTACAAATTTATATAGTCAAGGTTTGCAATGAAATTGAATTGATAATAAAAATCAGCATGAGACAGTAAGTTAATAGCAAGCAAATCATATGCATGCAACATATCATATTGCATGTCACGTCACGAACATATATGGCTGAATAACAATGTCAAATACCTCGATTATACTCGATATATTGGAAGTCAGTGGAAAATGACACTGCAATGAATCTGGGTGAATGCTGTCGGTTAAATATTTTATAGTATGAGACGATTATTTCAAATGTTCCCTTTCCAGTGGCAGAACTTATTAATCTTATCTATCTATCTATCTATCTATCAGGTAACATAATATTGCGTGCTATAATATGTATACAGTATGTTGTATGGGTAATGGCTAATATCGAATATATTATAAATGGAAATTGACAAATGAAGTACCTCTGCATGCCTTAATAATTAATTTCCTTCTTCCAATTTTGAAAACGGTTTGCAAATGTGTGTGGAAGCATTGTAATCGCAACGTTTTGAAAACCATGACGTTAATCGATGAAATTTGAGATCCACTCATGCATGCTATTAGTTGACATGCACAACTCGACGAAAGCGTACGAATAGCCTCATTAACTGAACGACAAACGCGCTTAAACTCGCTGGCTTATTGGTCGAGACGAAAAATTATAAATTTTCGTCAGCCAAACGTATACGATCATCACATGACGTTCCAAAACAAACGTACTTATGCGTCGAAACTCTTAAAACCAGGCTTGCTGGTTGGTCGAGACAGTACATTATGAATTTTCGTCTAGTGAGTAAACTGATTTATTTTTCACCCTGCTCGGTTTCCTTTGTTCTTGTCGGGGAATATATTCAATATTCCACTCTAATCAATTTCCGTTTAATAATCCCCTCTAATATTCACCTGCAATTAATAATCCCCTCTAATATTCACCTGCAATGTTTTTGCAGCACAAAAAATGTGAAAAAAACAACATCGCGAAGGCAATATGGCATTAAGAATTATTTCTTTTCTGACTCATTCACGCGACCTCGCAGTGTGAAAAATAAGTACGTTATTTTGAGGCACCTCGGGGATATGTGTTTATTCACCTCGGCGCTGCGCGCCTCGGTGAATAAATCACATATCCCCTCGTTGCCTCAAAATAACCTATACATATTCTAATTGTCAAGAAATGACACAGCAGTATAATTAGGTAAGCCTGAGCAACTTGAAGTGTCGTATCACAATGCAATTATATTTACAGAAAGGAAAGTTAGCTCTCTTTAGCTTTGGGTTATTAGATTGGGCACATGTTTGTACCAGCATGCAATAATAGTCCATACAACTCTCACTAACAGACTCGCGTTTCAAATGCATGGTTAATTCACTCAGTAAAGCTAGGGAACGGAAAGTAAAAGGATAGTGAATCTGTCTTCTATTTCCTCTCCTCGTTGGCGAGAAAACTGTTGGGCCTACATCACGTACAATCAGCAGAAAGGATTCGACACTTTCCCCCGTTAAATTCCAAAACAGAAATTGCTCTATTTCATTGAAAAAGTCGCAACCATTGCATGAACGCCGAACGCACAAGATTGGGAAAAAATACTCCTTCCATACGTGCCCTTGGGATATTTGTTTGGGGGCATGCTGTTGTCAGGAATGATAATTTGCAGAAACTTTCAAAGTTTTCAAGTATAATAACTCGCGGTTAACAGTGTATGGTTTATTTCGTTACTTAACCTGACATATCTCTACATGCAGCACATGTATGTATATGCACGGAGAATAAAATGTTACACAAAATTGCTAAACACTGCAGAGCCTGCCAGAGCGGTTGCAATCACATGTAAGTCGTCTACCATGGCTAAGGTTGAAATATTTTAAAAACACGTATATTTGCATGAATAGTCGAGTAAATACCAACCTAAAATGTCGTGTTTTGTGATCATTGTTTATGACTCGTTCTTTAGAAAGACAATTTCTACAGTTCATTGTCTTTTATTGTTATGATCAACCAATCACAAAACCATATTCATATAGGTTGGTGGCGACCCAATGTATATTATTAACATAACTGAATATCCGTTCGCTAACGTTGAGTTGTGCATGTTAACTAATTAGACATAAAACAGTCCACGCCGATCATGCAGGCTCATACGTTGGTTTCCTCAGTGATGTATTGATTGGCGTATTTGTTTCGTTTTCGTGGATACGTGTGAACCCTAACCCGACACGGTAGCTTTATATAATTAGACAGAGGCCAAAACACTAACGAGGAACCAGAGGAACGAAAAAAAAGCTTTCGAAACGTCAAATTTAAATATACGTTTGGACGATTTGACAGGAACTATAAGTGTTTCACTGATTTAATTCAACAACAAGACAAACATAATTCTATACAGCTAACTTTACCGTGTTTCTGGTCATAGAATGGAATTCAACATTTAGTAGTTTCTTTCACTGTGGAAAAGAGCCTGCTGCCTGTATGTGGTACTAAGCGAGAGAAAACATGTATACCGGGAATTCTTTATAGCCCGGTCAAACGAGAACGCGATTTGAGAGTCACGAATTGTTACAGGGGACATTTCATTTTGAACTATAGTATATATGCTTATACATTTTGAACTCCACATATATAGAGAGGACAACCCGTCTTGAAATTGCAAAATTAATACCAACTAAAGTTGGGGAAAAAATCACATGTTTCAATGCCCAGTTAATGAAAGTTTCTGTTTTTCATGCTGAGCAAAATATTATATATGTAATTGAATACGGAGTACCATAATTTTGCTTTTCATGATTTTATTTGCAGAAATTTTCAAAGTGCAACATTGGTCAACATCTCAACCGCAAGGACAGGAATGGACGAGTGAAATTGCTTATTTGTGCAGAGAAAATCAAAAGCGTTTCTCAATGGAAATTTGTTGACGGTACGTAACTGATGCAGATGTTTAGCTATGGTACTATTGTCCATATACTTTATGCTTCCAACTAAGTCACAAATCTTGAATATTGCTCACCCCCCCCCCCAATTATCGCGTCTAGCTACGGCCCTGGAGGCAAAGATGGTTCTGCCATCCTGAAAAGCACTGCTGTCATCAATCAGGGCCTTTTTTAAGGATTTTCCCGTGGGGGGACATTTTTTGAAAAGGGACCTTTCTGTGAGATAATATATTAGAGGGGGATAGCAACGGCTTAAAGCCACGTGTGTCGTCAATATACCACGCATGAATGGGGGGTCTGGGGGTGTACTCCCCCAGAAAATTTTTGAAATTTGACTCCCGGAAATGTCATTTCCTGCATTCTGAGCATTCAAATTTGCATTCCTGCATTCTGAGCATTCAAATTTGCTCGAAAATTTATCCTAACTATACTTGTATTTGAAATAAATATAGGAAGAAACGCACAAAAAGTAAAAAAATTAACCATCTTTTATTATTACTTATTAGAGGAGGATAGCAATATGGTCAGGTGCGTGGGGGTGTACTCCCCCAGAAAATTTTTGAAATTTGAACCATGGAAATGCCATTTCCTGCATTCTGAGCATCCAAATTTGCTCTAAAATTTATGCTAACTACAGTTGTACTTGAAATAAAAGATGGAAAAATGCACAAAAAAAATAAAAAAGAATATTAATTAACTGTAATTTATCATTACTTATTAGAGGGATAATCCCAAGAAAATTTTTGAAATTTGAAACCTTGAAATGTTATTTCCTGCATTCTGAGCATCCAAAAAATAAAACAAATATTAACAATAATTTATCATTACTTAGTGGTAAAAAAAGTAACAATTTAAATCGATTTTGTTAAACAAGAACAAAGGATAAAGCCTAAAACTCACTTTCCGTTTATCTATTTGTTAATCTTCGCTGGATTGTTTGTATAATTTTAGGAAAAAGGGACTTTTCCTGGGGGGGCAAAATGTGATTTCGTGGGGGGGCACAAGGGGGGACTGGGGGGCAAATGCCCCCCCCCCCAGCTTCTATGTTAAAAAAGGTCCTGTCATCAATTCTAGATGAGCATTTTAAAGATCTCCTAAATCGTGTAAAGTAAAAGAGACCGAACTGCATGTGGAAACTATATAATGTGATTTACACAAAACAATGGTTTTTGAGAACCAGCATATGACGAACAATTCCTTAAGTGGTTAACTAGTTTCAAAAATGGTGCATGGCACTGTAACTTGCTACAGTATTCGTACGACGTGCTTGGATAAATGATGATATACTGTACTAGCTAATTTGAGTGTCGCTGCAATTGTCGACCACCATCTTCAAAAGTAAAAGAGACCGTACTGCATGTGGAAACTATATAATGTGATTTACACAAAACAATGGTTTTTGAGATCAGAACCAGCCAAGATGTAAAAACAATTATTTTGCTAGATCTAAGCAGATCTTGTATTTACAACTTAAGGAAGCGTAAACGAGACACTTTTTGGTGTGGATTTTACGTAAGCCGAACAGTTCCAAAAGTTTGGATTAAACGATCTACAATCTTGGCAAAAACTAATGAAACATCCAGTATGATTAACAATTTAATCTATTCTTCCCCCCTTACAATGTTGATTAAGATAAGTAAAAAACCTACACATAGTGTTCTCTGCCATTGATGAACTATTGAACGTAATTTTTCAGACTCTATAGCCAACATTGTTCAGGAGGGAAGGGGATTTTGTCTATTTTATTGATTTTTATAGGTGTTTCATTAACTTTTTGCCAAGATTGAATCCTGGCAAAAACTAATGAAACATCCAGTATGATTAACAATTTAATCTATTCTTGCCCCCTCCCCTTACAATGTTGATTAATTAAGATGAGTAAAAAACCTATACATAGTGCTCTCTGCTATCGATGAACTATTGATTATTGAACATAATTCTTTAGACTCTACAGCCAACATTGTTCAGGGGGAGGGGATTTTCCCTATTTTATTGATTTTTTAAATAAGTGTTTCATTACCTTTTTTTAACTTTTGAGTAGTGCTTTGATAAAATTAAAATGCTTGGTAACTATTGAATATTTTAATTAAATGCAAATGATCAGAAAACAATAAAACGTACGGTGTACTAATTTTTTCTCGCTCGTAAATTAAGAAGTAATTTAAAAACTGGTAGCCGAATAATTGAGTTTGCTGTGGAAAAACAAACACATGCTCCAAGTTGTAAATCGGAGGCAAATATGAGGTATATGACGTCATTTTGACGTCCTGATTCATCTCGCGTTGCTGAAGCTGTCCATATTGTAGTTTTGCAGTCGCACACTTTTCAAATATATCTACGTGATAATTAAAATTTTAATATTTAAAGAAACGTCCCTCATAGCTTACACATGGTATTATCAAGAAAGGCCAACATTGCATACAGCGCATCTTGTGTCAAGCGTACGTAATTGTATTCCATGGCTATTAAACAATGGAATATGCCTGTGCAGTACTCAGGCCGATTAATGCTTGGCTCTTGCTTTGCTCTGCCCACGCTTGACGTGATATGTCCGCGCGAGTTGCGCGCGATAACACATATCTAGCGTGTTGCCATTTGAGTGCATTTTGGCGTTCGAATGAAACTGAAATTCAATAAATACGAGCTCTAGGATTATGTTAGATTATAGCAACCAGCAGGGATGAGTAAACTGTTAGCTTTTCTTCTGCAATTGGCCGTTGTATAGTATAATATATAATATGCGATATGCGGCGACCTTTGAACTTTGATATATAATATAATATATAATATATAAAGCTCGCTATTGCGGGTGTTTATGTTTGAATTATTCAACATCGATTTGTGTATCCTTTTTATTTTTCTACGCACAGAAAAATATTTGAAGTACAAATAAGTACCCAGCATATGGATGGTTCAAACTTTTTTGGGGTGGTGATGTTTAAGTGTAGACTCTTAAGGGCGCAATAAATGTTGTTGTTGAAATATAATATCCTTTCATATAAAGACTCAGACAAGTGTCGAATATTCTGCTAAATATATAAACGAACATATGTACTTATCATATTGTACTTCTGTATATGGTATTCTCTCTGTTCCTTGCATATTATATGAATGCACTACTTACTAGTTGCAAACGGTTTGTTAGTCATTTTATAATATTTTTATATTTGTATTTCATATTTTGTTTCACAGCAGGGGCCTATTAATGATCATGGCGTGCGCGAATTCATCACGCAAAAAACGCGTTGGACTTGCGGGCACATAAGACAATGTTAATGTGGGTCGTTAATAAGTATATATTGTCCAGAGTACAGCTAACTTTGGTCCTACAATTAGACTTGTAAGCATTGTAATCTGGAACGGTCGTTTTAGTGCAAATTATATTGACATTGTCCGAGACATTGTTGTATTCACTGCAACATTTTCATATCTGTGGCATAATCTTTAAGTTTCTAATTAGTACATTGCAGTATATGAGTAAAAGGTTCTGTGATAATATTTTTGTACATATCCATGAATGTTTAGTGTGCCCGCAAGCCGTGTTTTAAAACATAAAGTTAATTTCCATTATCACCGCCTATATCTTGTCACATGACCAGTTTCCATAGAAACCAAATAGTTGAAAAACATCGGCAGTTGCTTTCCAACATCTCATCCAAATATGAGAGTCATAGTGTACTTTGTTAATTTTTAATTAATTTTTAAAAATTTTTCCTATTTTCCCACTCCTTACGAAATTGGAGCCAGGCATTAATGCACCTGAGTATCAACGTGTGGATACTTCAGAGAGGCTTGATATTACCTCTGAGCCCTATTTTTGTTGGTTTTTTTTTTTGGGGGGGGGAGGGCAGCAATCTTCGTTAAATTTCCCTGTATGGATACACAATTACTTCTAGCCAATATAATTTTCGAACAATGATTGGAACAATTTTACTCGTTGTATGACGCTAAAGACTAAAATACTTTGTATATAAAAACAACATGACATTAGGAATTAGGCTTTTTCTGACGTTTTTGTATATAGTTGAAAACCTTGGTAACGTTTCAGAAAGGAATTTTCGATTCAAATTTGAGCGAAATTGCTTGAAAACAGTTCTCAATTTTCATTCATATGAATAAGGCAGACTTTCGAAGTGCAGTTCTTGCAAAAAAGGCAACCTGCGGCCCCGGGGTCCCCCCCCCCGTGACTCCGCGGCGCCACTGCATATGCTTACTATGCACATGGGGACCCGACGAACATACTTGGTGGCCTCCACAGCATGAAGTCTGTCAGCTGGTTATTATTATTTTCCCTCATAAATTATATTTAAAAATCCATTTGTTACTACCATCATTTTTTTCATTGGACATTTCATACGTTTGTTGGTCCGTTGAACATAAAAGGATTTCAATTCAACTTTTTCATATGCCCCAAAATTTGACGTGATGCATAGCTTTCGGACAGTGGCGCATTGCCTCACCCCCCCCCCCAAATTGGAAAAAGGGCTGCCCTTATGAAAAGTTGACATCTGGGCAGAACTGAGGGGGTACGATGTGTGAATAATGATTCCCATCTATTTTGTTTACCAATAAAAGTTGTAATGTTCCCTATCTGGAATTCTAACCGTCCATTAAAAAATGCGTATGGTGGTTGAAAGCACATTTGAACTCGAATTTCCGCGCATATAGCAGCAGTCAAAGTTCAATGTTCATTCTTTTTTACAATATAATTTCCACTTCAAAAACGAGGACATCGTGCTATTTTGCTGTTGAATTTGTGTATACAGTACAATATTTTACAAAAATATTTGTTTTAATCTAACAACATTAGGCGACTTAAAAATGGCTGTTATGGTAGTAACGGCAGTGGCGTAACTACTATGTGCTCAGACCGGGAGAACCCGGAGGCCCCCAACCCCAATGGGCCAAATAGGGGCCCCAGGCTTAGGCGATAGAGCAAAAACATTGGCCAGGGCCTCTCTGATATGTTACAATGTCGTTTTCTGACCATCATAATTCTGTAAAATCTCTCCCCAAAGTCCAGAAAAATGGCATTTCAGAGAGTCTAGCTAGATTAAAAAATTTTCCAGATGAGCATGCCCTGGACTCCTTAGAAAATCGTGCATATAAACGGCGCTCGACTCGTGCCTTTGGCACTTCTACTAGGGAGCTTTCGAAAATTTTGAACCGGGGCCCCCGATATAACGTTACGCCACTGAATAACGGTTCTTCAAACATCGTCCGAAAGTACATAAAATAGCGTTGTAATGAATCTATAAAAATTCACAATTACCCCAGACTCCCATGGACTTATCGCGCCTTTGACGCTTGCATTTCAAATGCCATAAAAATCCTCCCCCCCCCCCAAGTTTGGACCCTGGCTACCCCACTGCTGTGGGACATGTATTGCAATTTTTAAACCGCTTTGCATACATTTTGAAAATAATCTTCCACTGGGTAATTTATATCTTCCAAACTTTTTCCCGTACATTTTTATTATTCAAAAACAGTAAATTAGTTTAAAACTAATACCTAGTTTCTGTTTAATTAATCTTATGCTGCAGGTTCTCCGACTTTGGGTGAGATATTTAACCCAGCTCTGGATTGTCCAGATGTTGTTGATCGATTACCTGAAGCGAAAGATGGGTTTTATTGGATTGTTCTAAACAATGGAGTGCATAAGGTGGCAATTGAGGTTCATAGTACTTGCAACTATTGACTCGTTAAAATGAATTTATAAAATCATGTCAATTAGGTTTGGTGTGATGTTCATACAGACCATGGTGGATTTACGCTAGTTGGGATGAAGGATAGCCCTGTGTCCTGGACAGTACCATCTAATTCGACTCCAGTTGACCCCCAGGGACCTCCACAATGGTCAAGTATTTTCGGTGATGTCAAAGTTCTCGATTTTAGAGTCCAATTTTCAACTGATAAAACTTTTGAAGGAACAAAGGCAGACTGGTAAGAATACCTAATTGTTACTTGTAAAGTCGAAAGTTGATATTTTGCTTTCATGCATGGACAAAAGAATAATGTTATCCTTTCCCTAATTAAATTTATAATTTAGTCGATCAAGAGTAAGAAGTACAATTTAAATTGCTGTAAGCATTGTGTTAATATGTTATTTGACATGAAACTGAATGTGACAAGTCCATGCAATATAATAGACACAGTATGATTAGTCAATTTTCACCCATTTCCTATTCTCCTCCCTCGGTTTTGGTGTATTTGACTCAAGACCTATGGCATTGAAAGTTGGTGACGGCTTTTGATTATTTATGGGGGAGAGCGGGGTTGACATTTAACTAGTGCAGGGTGTCCCCAAAAAGTCCCCCTTTAAAAATAACTCTTGTGCGTTATTATATATAATTATATATAATATCGGCATCACGGAAATAGTTTAATTCTATACTGTTTGCATCCGACCAATTTTGGAGTATGCATCCCCAGTCTTCCACGACAGTCTAACCGCCTATCTATCAAACGATCTCGAAATTATACAAAAAAGAGCTCTGAGGATAATATTCCCTTGGGTCCCATATGATGAGGCACTTAAAGGTGTTGCCGGCCTTCAGCAATTAAGTACACGAAGACAAACTTTTCCATGAAATAGAATCTAATGATAGCCACACATTGCATAACTTACTACCTCCTGGTAATTTGAACCATTTTAGTCTAAGAACAAAACACAAATTTAATGTTAACTTCCAGACGGAACGACAAAGGAAAACTTTTATTGTACATAATTCATTAAAATCTTAAGATATAATTAAATTTAAATTATTTATTAGTCTAGTCATGACAAACCGCACTGCCTTAATTATGCAAACTTTGTGTTTTAAAAACACGAATCTCCGGAAACGCATTAGCTCATAACTGTCACAAATCCAGGTGAAGTGCATAAATTTACTACGATTTTTCGCCTAATGATATTGCTGATCTCTGTAGGAGCTCTGACGAAACCTGTTATTAATATTGTTATTGATTAAAGGTACAGATTGAAGGTGTTTTGGATCTTCTGAGTGATAACAACTTCTGATTTATTGTATATGACATTTATTGCGGGAAGCAATAACACGTGCAAATGTTGCGCTTTTTCGCCTTCTGATGGCCTCAACGTAGCAGCATATGGTACCCAGAATGACATATTGTAACAAAGTCAAAGATCTATGAATTATTCTGTTCTACATGTATCAAGTGTTTACCATGTGCCTATATATCAGATAAAGTTGTGCGTTCTGTGATGGTGGCTCAGTAACTGTTTTTTTCAGTATTTCACTATACCGTTGAGACACGATCTGCTTAGCACGATAATCTGTTCGCACTTACAAAACTCCCCAACCTTTAATTTAAAACAACTCTCTCTAAAGCATAAACATCGGCATCGCTTGCTGGTGACTGTTTTGACTTGCCTTCTATTATTTCAGATGCAATATGCGCATGCTTTTCCATATGCCTATTTACTTCAAATACTTTTAAGCTTTAATTACTGATTAAGGTAAGATGAAGCATCTTCAAAATGTGTCAGCATAAGATGACGCATCTTTCTGACACAAGAGTATATCAGCTTAAACGTATTTGGAACAAATAAACTTGTCATCATGCAAGATCATGCAGTAGATTGTGCATTAGAGCAAAGCAATGTCATATTGTATTTATTGCAACATTATGTTAGCAACTCAAACTCCATTTCAATTTGGAAACCATAGTTCCATATGCCTATTTATTCAAATACTTTTAAGCTTCAATTACTGATTAAGGTAAGATGAAGCATCTTCAAAATCTGTCAGTATAAGATGACGCATCTTTCTGACACAAGAGTATATCAGCTTAAAAGTATTTGGAACAAATAAACTTGTCATCATGCAAGATCATGCAGTAGATTGTGCATTAGAGCAAAGCAGTGTCATATTGTATTTATCGCAACATTATGTTAGCAACTCAAATTCCATTTCAATTTAGAAACCGTAGTTCCATATGCCTATTTATTCAAATACTTTTAAGCTTCAATTACTGATTAAGGTAAGATGAAGCATCTTCAAAATCTGTCAGCATAAGATGACGCATCTTTCTGACACAAGAGTATATCAGCTTTAAAGTATTTGGAACAAATAAACTTGTCATCATGCAAGATCATGCAGTAGATTGTGCATTAGAGCAAAGCAATGTCATATTGTATTTATCGCAACATTATGTTAGCAACTCAAATTCCACTTCAATTTAGAAACCGTAGTTCCATTATGCCTATTTATTCAAATACTTTTAAGCTTCAATTACTGATTAAGGTAAGATGAAGCATCTTCAAAATCTGTCAGCATAAGATGACGCATCTTTCTGACACAAGAGTATATCAGCTTAAAAGTATTTGGAACAAATAAATTTGTCATCATGCAAGATCATGCAGTAGTTTGTGCATTATAGCAAAACAATGTCATATTGTATTTATCGCAACATTATGTTAGGCTGTTAGCAACTCAAATTCCATTTCAATTTAGAAACCGTAGTTCCATATGCCTATTTACTTCAAATACTTTTAAGCTTCAATTACTGATTAAGGTAAGATTAAGCATCTTCAAAATCTGTCAGCATAAGATGACGCATCTTTCTGACACAAGAGTATATCAGCTTAAAAGTATTTGAAACAAATAAATATATTTGCAATCACGCAAGGTCGTGCAGTAGATTGTGCATTATAGCAAAGCAATGTCATATTGTATTTATCGCAACATTATGTTAGCAACTCAAATTCCATTGGAATTTAGATTATTTAATACAGTATCATGTAAGTGGATTCGAGAGCTTTCGGCCAATATTTTGAGCCACGTACTTTGCAAAACATCGAGATCGAGTTGCAGAGGCTGACATAAACCTACCCTTCTTGACTCCTTTTGGCATGAGTTACTGCATGTAATTATTTACTTACTGTACGTTTTCCAGAACTATGAAAATTGTTTAATCATACCAATATACATCACTCTGAACACTCCCAGTAAGGTGAAGACCATTCGCGTTCGTATAAACGAGAATTAAGCCGTTTCAAAACTTTGTATACGTTTTTGGTTCGTCTTTCAATCTGTTCTCTAAGAGCATTATGTGCTCAATCATTCGCGCCGTTTCGTCCCTTTCGTTGTTCTTCAGAGTGTAAACGCTTGGTGTTGTGTTGGCGCCAATTTGAATCTTCAAGCGGGAACGAGTTGACCATTTGGCGTATATGCTGGAATACGCTGGACTGTAGCTACGCACCAGGGCGCTTATATAATGGGCGGTGAAACGGATATAGGCGCGCTGATCGATGTGTGATGCGGCAGACTGGTAACAAGTCAAGTTAGTTAGTAAAATAAATAAACATGGCGACTGCAAATTCGGAATCATTGTCAAACTCAAATACGGAGTTTTTCTTAGACGAAGAAGCTGAAAGCGAGCTTACACTTTCCGTCCCACATTCTAATCGTGTTGAATATTGCAATATCTGCCATTCGTTTGACATCGTTTCTCCAAACGCTTTTGCAAGTGTACAAGCCGCCTGCAAATGAGAACTGTATTTTAACTTTGGCAGTGGAAGCAGCATTCAATGAGAGTAAGTCTGCCCTCGTAGAAGAGTTTCTACAGAACATATTGTGTTTGTTTGAAGTTTGTTTTAGCCAGGCAGGAGCAGAAAAACACTCTCAGAAATATGCAATAAGCTTAGAAAAGGCATTTGCTGAAAAACGACGTTCTAGTTTTCACCATTGTGCAATTAAATGGTCATGGGAGAGATTATTTACTAATACAGCAAGTCAGAGTAGTGAATATAATCAAGCTTCAGAACAGTTGCTGCAGCAAATTCTTCAGTACTTTTGGTCTTCAAGTAGTAATAGTTGTATTACTGTTGAAAGTCCTGAAGAGGAAGGTGAGGAAAGTACTGAAGATCCTGCTGCTTGTGATGAGAGTGATTTCGACAACATCAAAGATCATGCTGGTTGGGTAGTTAAACGAGCTAGGGAGACATTAATGAAGGGAGATAATAAAATACCGGCAAAGGAAAGTGTCACAGAGTCGACCCTTGTCTATGGAGATAAAGCTGGGGCATTGGAAATAATTTCTGCCTTGGGGAAAGATGTTAAGCAAGCAGATGGAAAATTTAGATTTATTGTTCATGAACATGTTGTTCCTTTTTTTCTGTTTCTTCATAATTTGGTTGAAAAACTCATTAATCCTAATAATGTTGTGCTTCAAAAGGGAAATATCCTGATTGATTGCCTTGATAAAATGGCCAGACATAAGGAGCTAAGAGAAAAATGGGATCACTTAACATCAAAGTCAGATGAAACATCCGTCATTGTTCTCCAAAGAATTGCGACGTTCTTTGTTAAATCGAAACAGCAAATACTTAGAGAAAAAAGGGGCCTAAAACCAAATAAAAGTAGGATGACAGTTCGGCAACAACTTAGGCAGTCAAATAATAAAGCAACTTCATCTCGCTCCTCCAAGGAAAAGAATACAGTAAATGAGGAAGTTAATAAATTAAGATCTGGGGATTTAACATCTGTTAGCATTCAATCTCAGTTAAAACAGGAGGATTTACTTGGGAAACTTAATGGGAAAGAACTTGCAACGATATTAAAATCAGTGGGAAAGCCATCCTTTTTGGGAAAGAAAAAAAGCAAGCAAGTTACAACACTGCTTGAAGTTTTAAAAGCTGGAAACATAACTGTGAAAGATATTGACGCAACTTAACTCTATTAGGGGCGGACCATTGGGTCAATCCAGAAAACATCCATACCACCCCCACGGAGGAAATAGGAAGTTAACCCCCCTACCCCCTTCGGATGTCCTAATACACTTACTATTATCAGAAACAATTTTTTCTGCCCCCTCCGGACAGCAGAAATTTTCTCTGAGGGGGGAGTATGAATCTTTTCAGGAATGACCCATTAGAAAAGTGTGGGGGGGAGCAAAAATAAAAATCGAGCAGGGGAAACAGAAAAAAAAATTTGTGCACCAGAAAAGTAAAAAAAAATTCGTGCAGAGACTTTTCAATAGGGAAAATTATAAGTTGACAGGGCCTAATGGTGTGAGAAAACATTTCTAAACCTAAATGTTGCAGATATTGGTGCAAAAAAGCATTTTAAGCATGTTTTAACAAGAATTTGTCAGGGAAAATGTGTTTTGAACGTTAACTAAAGTGATGTTAGTGCGGGAAATTTTTTTTTACCCTTTTTTTGTCCTGAAAAAATTTGTATATCCTGAAAAACCCCCCCCCCCCTCGCCAACAATCGAGCAAGGGATTATTAAAAAAAAACTATCGACACAAGCAAAAAATTAAAAAAAAATAACCATACAGGTTGGAAATGTCCCCCCCCCGTCACTTTTCTAATGGTCATCCCTTACAGCAAAAGATAATGCTATTACTAGAAGGGATATGTACATGGAAATTTGAGTAGACATTATATATACATCTATTAGACCTAACCACAGTTAATAGACCTAACCAGGAGCAGATGCAAAAGGCCCTCTCTGGCAGCCAAAAATATAAACTTTGACATTTCGAGTGAAGACCATCATTAGAAAAGCAACAGAATCAATGATGGATTTAATCAAAACAAATTGTAAACAAACTACAGTATTTAGTCCTTGGAGATTGTTGATTATATTAGAATAAGAATACCCAACAGAAGAGTCAAACGTTTGATACAAAAACACATTAATTAAACACAGGCTATATCGTATAATGAAATGGATGCCCAGAGCAGGCCGCTTATATAATTATATAAGCGCCATGGCCCAGAGTATGTGCAAAAGAGCCATGCTGAACGAAACATCATTCTAACTTATACACCGTCTACTTTTGCTGCCAATTTTATATTTTTTGACAATCTTCAATGGGCCTTCAGTCCTTGTAGATGTTACTGTAATTCTCATATTACTGATCATATTATGTCCATGATATTCATGTTCAGCATACCAGAGGTTGAAACCTGAAAAGGCAGGTGGACCAAACAGCCTACAAACATATCTAAAATTTAAAATATTTATTTTAAGCCCTGAGAATTAACCAAAATATTTACCTTATAGTATTAGTGAACTGGATCCATATATGTTCTAAGATTTCCAGCTACAAAAGGTGGTCATATGTTGACAACCTAACCCCAACCTTATATACAGGGGTATTTCCTCTTGGGGAGAAAACACCCATGTAAGAGATAGCCACATGATCTGCTGAAATCTGGCAGATTTTTAATTAGCAATCCTAGATGAGATTAATTTATAATTTGCATTTTCTATGATTGTTGTAAGGGAATCCAAGATAGTTATTATATTTAGAAATCTGCTAGATTTTAGCAGATCACATGAATAGCATCTACCAGAGTCCTTTCCCCTCTCGCCAAGGTCTTTTCTCTCCAAGAGGAAATACCCTGTGTATGAGGGTTGCCTAATCCCCACACCCAACATTTATTATTTTTATTTTAAACATATTTATGCATTTGCTCCAAGAGCGATATAAGCTCATCACCCCCAACATTTCACAAAGTGTCTACCACTGTTACAATGTACATGTATAATGTACTATATGGAAATAAGTCTCACTGGTACATATCGGTGCACTGGTAGGCAATGCCATGTTTAAAGTAGGCCAGAAAGAATGGAGATCTTTTTACAACAAATAGATTCTAGTGTTTTATTTATGGATGTTTTGGCACAGAATACTGTACAGAAGTCCATCTCCATTGTTTTTTATGTAAGTGCTATTCATCATGATTCACAAGTACTGTAAACAGAAGGAGTTACCCCCCTGGATGTGTGCCATTCTGAATATTTCCAGGGGGTAACCACTTCTGTTTACAGTACTTGCTAAGTGACGAATCATGATGAATAGCGCTTACGCAAAAAACAATGGAGTCACTCGCAGACTTCTGTATAGTATTCTGTGGTATTGGCCCAATGACCCTGTTTCCATGTTTTCGGATGGCAAGCACACATTAAGGTTACACCCCCATGTTTCATGCACAAATATATCATCTTGATCCAATCACAAACCTACCCATAATCCCTAACCCTATTGTGCATGAAACATGAGAACATTGGAACAAGTATCCAATAAATGGCCAGGTGTATTATTGGTGCCATTTTTTTTGCATAAATAGGGTTATTTCAAAACTACAACAGCTTAAAGATGTACTGGCCAAAGATTTTTATGAAATATGCCCTGAACATTGTCCCTCTTTGGAAGACTGGACCAACTCTGTGGCTGCTGTCCAAGGTCAACATCATCAGTTTTGTAGACATTTGTCTGTTTCTTTGATAGCAACTTGGTTGATGATGCAAGTGTGCTGTTTATGTTATACCCATATGTATATGCAGTCATATTGTTTGTCCCTCCACAGGACTGCCTTAGCATGGAAAAAAAAAGACTCAACAACATCCTGACTAAGCCTCTTAGGAATAATGTAATGATTCCCTGGATAAAGGGACTGAAACATCACACTTTCCACAAATGAAACCATACCTTTAATGCCATTGACTGAAACCTGTAAAAGAAAACAATATAATTTTACATTAGTATGAATAGAAAAATAATTATTTCAACAAAGTATGAATTTTACACTAGAATTAACAGACAAACATATTTTCGAATGAACAATTTGGGTGTAATAATAATGTTGAAATATCGAATGTCAATTTGAAATATATTGCAAGGGTAAACCAGACATTTATACGGTTATACCTTCATATCAAACATAGTTTGCCAAGTGATAAAGTGTGATGCAATTTCTGATTTAGTTCTAAACATGGTAGCAAGTTCATTCTTCCAACTGTTGAAAAATGCTATCACATTATCCAGTTCCTTTATTCTAGGATCAGTGGCTGCAGAAAGGGGGTTTGTATCATTGAAGATTTTCCATAATTTGTCACAGTTATAAATGAACAATCCAGTTGATTCTGTAGCAGCTGGATCACAACTTTCCATTTCCTTTTGAACCTTGGAATTAAGCACTTGTACAGCAAGCTTGACTCTCATTTTACTAATACTATCCAGGTTAACATGTGAACTTCTTATATCTGTTGCATATATATGCCGATCTTTCTCTCTTTGGTACACTGAGTATATGTGGTCCCATAAAATAGTTTTGGAGTTCAACAATAAACATCTTGTATATCTTGGAGATATTTCCTTATATCCACTGCTGTAAACATTATTTCTAAGCTTTTTGATCAAGTGGGGTGGATCAGATATAAAGAACAAAGGGAAATGTGAAAATGGATTGTTTGTCTGGCTCACTTCCTCATTAACACCATTCATCATCATGAAAGCCCTATTCTCAGCAGCTCCATCACAGCATGAAAGAATCGTTGCAATAATCCAACAAATTCCTCGAGTTAAGAAGTATGCACATGGAAACTGGAATTTGGAAAATATACTTTTAAAGTAGAACTGCAAAACATGAGTTGCAAGGTTTTCCTGAATGTCAGAATCACTGCCGGTATGTAGTTTTTCATTGTCTATATCCACAAAACCAACTAATTCCCATGTTGATGGATCGAAAACTAGGCCTTCCTTAATCTTTACCTCGTCAAAGAATAGTCCACCACATTTCCCAACTTGGGAAAATCCTTGTTCATTGAAGTTGTCACTCATTGCTTGGAGAACTGATGTTTGCCATCCTGACTTGGAAGAGCAGTAATTCTTGTAGTCAGACAAGGTTCTACCAGCTGGGAGTTTTAGAAATCCAGAATCCCTTAAATCTTCATAAGTATGGTGAGATTTAGCATAAACTCGTAAACACCATTTAATTACCAATGGATGCCACCGCATTTGTCTCGCTGGAACATTTAAAGCTTTTGCTTGATCTTTTAGTAGGGTTAGAAAAAACATGTCTGATTCATTACCAACATGTTCATTGAAATGACTTAACAGTAGCTTTTTCTTACCAAACTGTTTACCACATCCTAACCACTCGCATAAATAATGCCTATCAACAGGTGCAACATCACTCTGACTGACAGTCGTAAGATGAATATCTTTAACATGCTTCATTAATAAATCAGGAGTATCAAACTCACTGTCAATATTACAATTATCCCAATAGCATATCTTGTTATCATGTTTCTCCATTTTGTTTCTTATTCCACTGTACAACTCCTGAAACAACTGTCTGAATTCTGAATCAGTGTTGATGCCTACTGTGCTCATGTTTTGTTGGTGTTGCTCAAGCCTTTTCGTTTGTACTTGCATGGTGTGAAGCTTTTTTGCTGATGCCCGACTATGGTCGATCAATTCATTTCTGGACATGTAGTCATAACGCTTGTATTTTGAAATGGTACTATCCAATTGCTGGGACCTACGTGATTTTAATGTTCTAAGGTAATGATTTGTGTCATTGCAAGCTTTGCAGCAAGTATTTTCTTGATCTAAATGTAGAATGGCACATTTGGTAGACCGAATAACCTGTTCTTGAACATTAATTGGGTTTACTTCGACAAATGCACCAGGTTTTCCATCAGAAGTATTAAATATGGGTGTACTAAGGCTATCAGGTAGTATACTCAGATAATTCTCAGTTGACAAACCAGGACAAATTTTAAACTTTTCAAGAGATTTCATTAGCAAATGCAACTGTTTTCTTTCGTGAACTATTGGTGGTAAAATATCAGGGTCAATATGCATAGTTCTTGGTTTCCCCATATGAAAGAATTGATAACTGCCATTTGCATTTATAATTACTTCATAATCAATCTTAACTGGACTCTTTCCATGATAATACAAATGTACATTTGCCTGTGGAACATTTGGGATAACTTTCCATTTGGGAAACTTACTTGCAGTATTCACCATATCCTTACTAACCCTGTATGCAAGAGTTTTTGATTGTTTACTCTCTTGTAAGCATGCCAAACATTCATTCTCAATTGCCATTTTTAATTCATCACAGTTCAGGATGTCACACATCTCTGAATCAAGGAGTTTAAGAAGAAAGGACTGTTGTTTGGTCACAATTTTTTGGATACTGTTCAAATAAAACTTCCATCTCAAATGACCATCAAACTTTCCAAGGCCTTTTGACAAGTTGTTGATTGACCGGTAGAAATAGTTTTGTATACCTTTGCAATCAAACCGGACACCATACACAATATAGACAGCTCTTGACAAGTAATAATATTGTTTTGGTTGGACAGGGAAATGACTTTTTGAAGGGAACACAACATCTGTCAGGCAATAGAGAAGAAGTTCCTCAGGCTGTAAAGGAATTTTTCCATTATATTGAAGGGAAGTTGGTTCAGCTTCTGCGAAAATACTGTCAAAATCATTCACAGGTTGAAGTCTTTCGTTCTCATTCATAGTTGAACTATTTTCATCAATATTTATAGTTGTTGTCGAAAAATGTAAACAATTAGTTGTTTCCTTGAACCTCTTAGTAGAAGTAGACGGACTTCCTGAATCACTTGCTCGTCGTTTATCACACATTTTGTTTAGAAAATAACTTCATGTAAGAAATTTCAAATATTTAAAAATTATTTCAATTTCAAATATTTTATAATATGACAAATCCTTCGTCATTTTGCGATTTTGCACACGCTATCGTTGCCATGACACTTTGACAAACTATGTTCGATTCATGTTCGACGATCTTCGATTTTGTGACTGTCCTATCTTTAAAAAACGTTTTGCAGAAAATACTCAACTAGATCTTGGTTTTTTCCAAAAAATGTTGACAGGTAACTGTCTCATCTGCGAGCACACAAATTTTCTAAACTGGGGTAGCACTTTTACATGTGAAGCGCTTTGCAAAAAGCCTTGGCGATTGTTTTTGATATTTTGCTAAAATGGTTGAAATACCATTAAAGTTTGACATTGATATTATATAGTGTTCTTAAATTTCCAAAAATTGATAAATTGTTTCACGAAGAGTAGGAAAATCACCTCAAAATGCACTGTAATCAGTTAATTTGAATACACGAGGCAACCAAATAGGCAGAAATACAGCGGAAAAAGTGTATGCATTTAGGTCAGCACAGAGAAAAATACTCAACTCCGATTTTTACATTATCTCTTATATAAAACAAATGAATAGTGGTTTTTACGTACCTGAAAGATCCAACCTGGGGTTGCAAGTTGACAAGTCCTAATCTGTTGCTGAAATTTGCAATCCGCCAATGACTATGATTGGCATAGCTTTCATCCACGATAAAATCTTTTTGAACAACTTCTTTCAGCATAATGATATTTTGTAAGTTGAAGCAAACATTGCATTAACTGTATCTGTCGAAAAATCCTTGAAATATATTTGATCCTCAGCGTAAAAGTGACAAAATCACAACGCCAAAAAATCTCACTCCTTCGACAGTTTCGTTTAAAAGCACGCTCGTGCCAGTCCTCTGCCGCATCACACATCGATCAGCGCGCTATGAGTGCGTTTCACCGCCCATTATATAAGCGCCCTGATTTATTCTGTCTAATACCAGACACATTTTATTTAATTCTGTAATTAGTGCATTTTTAATGAACAAGCAATTGTTTAATGCCAGCCTGGTATTACAGTACAGCTAGCTGGGAAAACTCTGGTTTCTTGGCTCCGGTCCTGGTGCTTACAGCTCTGAACTCCGGCTCAGACTGCCTTACAGTTCAAATCTCTGTTTCATGCTACTTAGTTCACAACTCAAGTGATAAAGTCCATAACAATGAATTATTTTACCTAAACTCCTCAAATGCATCCAACATGTTCCTATATATTTCAGTTGGCTTGTGTACAATCTAACAATGTAAAAGATACACAAAATATATATATATATATATATTACTGACACAACATGTTGTTTGTATTAGAGAATTGCATTACAGATAACAGCCTGTACATAGTGTCCCCCTGTAATGAGTGGTTTGATAATGGTAAAATCTTTGCTACTGTAATTTGCAGAATGTTACATGCCCATACTTAAATTCATGTTTTTATTTCAGACTTGAGACTTTGATCATTAGATTTTTAAATAAAATTGAATATGCTCCTCAAGATTGCTAACTAAAACATTTAATACATGTGTATAATATATTGTCACCATCAATCCAACTCTCAGTTGTGATCATCATATATTCACATAAATTTATATACTGGTACAGTACATGCATTATTAATTCAGCACTCAAGTGAATAAGTGATGAAACGTCTTCAAAGTAACAAATTAAACAACTATTAAAGATTATCTGTTTGCACTATGAGCAGATGTTTTAGTATCTTTTATACATACATTCATTACTTGTTCCAAGTGTTGTCCTTCAATGCTGTAATCTATTACTATTTCAAGTCTCTAGAAATTTTAAAACCAAAATATATGAAAATCAAGCTTGGGAAATATAGGTCCTAAGTTACTGAGCATTACATGTTACTGAGTTACTCAGTAATACACTTTATATAATAACTACAGTGAAACACGCAATTTGATTGGTCAATAGCTGTGCAGGATCAGGCTATCCTGCACAAGGAATTAAAATGCCTTCGCTGGATTTTCGCGGGATTCACAAAATGTCGTTGTTTCACTGTAGTTATTTTATAAAACAATTACCAAATGGTTTTCCAAGCAGGATAGCGTGATCCATGCACTTGGGATGTTGCTCGACTTTCGGAAAGCGTAAAAATACACTCGCCTGCGGCTCGAGTATTTTTACGCTTTCCGAAAGTCTCACAACATCCTTCGTGCATGGATCATGCAATCCTGCACGGAAAACCATTCGGTATCCCTTTAGTCATATTAGGCACAGTGCAAATTGGAATTATCATCACTATCATGATACTTACAGGAAAATGTGAAAATGCAGGAAGGGATGCACAACATTGCTGAACCGACACCTTGGCAACAAGAAACATTTTTTCCACTAGTTCCATCAAACCAAATGTAAAAGCCATTACAGGTTTGGTAGGAGTAGCAGGCCAGAGACCAAGCTCAACTAATGTGCATGCTTCACTTCTGCATCTGCAAAACTTCACTTGGTACTCATGTTGAAACCCTATTAATATAAAGAAACATATTTATTTAGTGAATAATTAACACATTATTTTATATACACTACTAATATTATAGCAAGCAGATGACTTAACTAATAAACTACAGTAGGACTAATATCCGGTACTTGACTAATTGAGTACAGTATTAATTAAGTACTGACTACGGTGTTGAGGAGTATGGGTGGCCGAGCACGCTAAGGCACTGCCTCTTACCACTGAGTGAAGCCTGCTACAAACACGTCTAAACACAATACTACTTTGGTTGAGGAGGTTCCAGTGGGCATTTCAACTCATGCAGTAGAGTTCAGTTAGTTCTCTCCTGTGCCTAGAGGGTTGTCTCCGGCTACTCCGGTTTTCCCACGTCTGAAATTTAATTTTTTTTCAGTATCCAACTGGGATATACCAGGATTCAAAGTTTAGTATCCCCCTGAGAATCTAGTATCCCACTTCTGGATACTGGTTACCATAAGTACTATACCCTGTCCCATCTAAATAAGTTTCCATAACTCTCACTTTTACAAATTACAATAAAAGCATAAGATTCAATAGTCAACAACTAGATAATTCATTAAATAATACACAAATATGCACATGATATGAGGAAAAACTTGGGTGGCAGGAGATTGTCAGGGGTGCTTAACGTAGACATTTTGAACTAAGCCTCTGGCCCTTTCTAATTGGGTTTTAAGTAAAACCTGTAAAGGCTTTCCAGTCCTCAGAGTGGCAAACATTAAATATACAAATAAGTGTATGACTAATATTTTGAACAAAATGAATATTTTTAAAACTTTAAAATAACTAGTACCTAAAAAACCTACTACATAATTAAGCAAATGAACTTGCATGAATAAGAAAAGACTGGAAGATAAAAATTATTTAGTTTAAATTATCTAAAATTGAAAATTTGCTCAAACAGAAATAATTATTGCTTTTAATTAAACACATTGAATGATTTAGAACTGCACAAGCTCGTATAACAAATTTGTATAAAATCAGTAACCTGAATCTACTGTATACATACTTGTACTATCAAATTAATATTGCAATATGCTAAATACAAATTAAAACAGATAGTCTGCAGCACAACCATGCAGTGGCGTAGCCAGCCCGACGATTTAGTCCCGCTATGCAAATATTTTTGTGTTCATTTACTGTGAACACAATCAATTTCCAAAGAAATGAATAATGATAATAATTTTGAATTTGCATAGCGGGACTAAATTGTCGGGCTGGCTATACCACTGAGCACAACTAACCTTTTTCATCAGTAATTAAAACAATTTTGAAATATTCCAGCTCAGGAAACTCGCAATGATGAAGTGGATTTTTCAGCTTGGGTGTTTTCATTTTTACATCAACAAACATGTTGTCCTATTAAAAAAATTCCCATTAAAAACAATCAAAATATCGGCTATTGATTGACAGCTACCTTGCTCATGTGTTTCACTCTAAGGAAAATATATAAAGTTGCCACAACTTCTTTGAAAAAGCTGCATGTGTTGATATTGTTTGGGTAGAAAATGTAAACAAAGCAGAGACGCGCTGACAGACTCTTCCACGTCTAGCTTTAAATGAAGTGCAGATTGGCCTGCTAGGCATAGTAACCAACGAAGTGAGATATTGCCAGAGAATAAGTCCAAGCTTGATATGAGCTACCATACTTCATATTCAATCAGGTAATCTTACCAGGCTTGACTGCAGGTTGCTATGATATTAAAGGTCTAGGCACCAGTGCATGTGGATAGAATCAATTGAGCCCCCTCTCCGTAACCACTAGTTATTAAATATTTTACTGAATCCAACTGCTAACAACACTTTTTATCTCACTAAAGTAATAACTGTAGTGATTTTTGCTCAGGGTGTTTCAGTCAAGCCTATCTAGTTCAGACCTTTCGATATAATGCCTAGTTTTTATAATGCCTCTGATAAGCAAGATAAAATAATCTGGCATTAGACAAAGTAAAACAATCTGGCATTAGACAAATACTGTAGTGTACATGCATGGGTGCACTATTCCAGTACAGAGTACTAGCCTAATAATAGACTGAGGTGCTGTTTATATGAGTTGATCTCAGGTACTAGGGACACCCTACCCACCCACTGCAACAAATTTAACCCAATGTTTATATGAGAAAATGTTATAGTCCTGACACTATATAGCTATTTCAATTAAGGTTGTCCCCCGAGCAAAGCGGAAAAGTCGAATACGAGCGTGAAAGGTTGCTGGGAATCCGCTAATAAATGAATGAATTTATTAGCGATTCCCAGCATCCTTTCGCACTCATATTCAACTTTTCCGCTTTGCTCGGGGGACAACCTTAATTGAAATAGCTGTATCCTAGAAAAATGGCTCTATGAGATTGTGACACATTCCTGCAATATGCAGTTATTTGTTACTTGTTCTCATGCCGAAACAAATTGTTCTCATTGAAAAAAGTTGTCCCTCCTACTAGGGTCACCCAGTTTTGTAAACAGGGTGTCCCTACCACCAGGGTAACCCTACCAGCCAAGGCGAGTTGAAAACTTTCCATATACCGGTACAGTAAACGCTTGCATTAAGCCATTCCATTTAATATGTGCATCCCTCCAATATATTGAAGGGTCTAGATATCCAATGGGGGAAGAGGGGGTCTTCATCTTAAATTTTCCTAGAGGGTAGCTTGAACGAGAGATTTTTAAAAAAATGGCAAAAATTAGGTGCTTTAGTGATATTGAAGAGGGGAAATGTGACATCCTAAAGGGGTCAGTAAGATATCCTCTGGGGTATAAACTTCCACAAATTGTATCCAGGGAGGGTTCCAAATGTTTTAAATGCTAAGGGGATTAATTATGAAGGGAACCGTAAATAGGGGGTGCCTACAGGCTACAGTATATTAAATGGAATGACCCATTTGAAATGTTATATAATGAATATAATTTTGTTTCTCTCAGGGTAGCTCGGGGTAGGGTGTTCCTAGACTTCCTAGTGACTCTAATAGTGATTAATGATAATAGTATTTGAATTGAATTCATAGTATTTTGAATTTTCACAATATTTACCTGCCATTTCTCTGGTGAATGAAAATAGTTTTTAGTGTCGTGAACTTCAACCAAACACTTGGAACAAAAGAAAGAGTAAGTCCACAGTCTTTACACCGGAATTCTGGATTTTCAGATAAGCAATTGCAGCAAAATGCTGTATGGGGAACATGGCTTGACTTCCTGTATGCCTTTATCAAATATTCTCACTCCTTTCTCCACAATGAAAGAAGCCTGAATTTTCTTTTGTTGTGCGACGATAAGCTTTCCCCTTCTTCGTCCGATTCCTCTTCAAAAATATTCGTATCTTCGCACAAATGATCTTCTAGATCGCGTGTCCCATGGCCATGTGCGTCACTTGATCTTCCTGACACATCCTTGCTGCTACATCCAAGAAAGCCTGAAAATCGAGCTCTAAACGCTTGTTTTCCTCAACAAGCCTCCCCGTACGACTAACACTTAACTCTTTGGTTTTCTTTCTTTTTGGCATTTTTCAATACGAAGGAACGCAACTATTATGTAAAACAGAATGTCTAGCATATATAATTCAAGTCTGAATATGCAAACACATGACTTGCGGTTTCATGTGTGAGGGTACTCGAGGGGATCCCACGACGCAGTATATATACTGACGCGTTCAATGATTTTGTCAGTATATATACTGATGATTTCGTGTGCATCGGGTGTTAATTCACAATCATCAGAGAATGTTGCTGAAGTAAATGGTATAAAACCATCACAGCTTAAATTTGTGCACAGGAAAAATTAACAACAAGAGCATCTGTAACATATGATGGAGCAGGAATTCAGTGCAATTATAGACAGGGAACTGTTTATTTGATATTTCAAAATGAAGAACTGCATCTGCCAGTAGTTTAAACAAACTTGGACTCTTTCCTATGTGTGAGTGTTATTTTTTGTCTCTCAGGAGGGATATCCTTTATACATGTATGTTACAACATCCTGTAGATGTAAATGTCTCCTAGCTTGATCAATGCGGCCATGGCCCCTCAGCCTCGTTTTTGTGTTTTAGCTTATTTCCACATTTATGGGTCAAAATCCAAAATTCTTTTCATGCATTGTGTTGATGAAGGATGTTCTGCTTCTCTGAACATAGCCCATGAAAAACAAACTTGAAATCTGTTCCATTTAAGGTGGTCCTAATTTGAAAACAGTGTAGTTGTGAAGTAATTACTGGAAAGGTCTATTTTACATTTACAGTTTTTAAATATGAATCGTTGTAATCATAACTTTTTATCCATATATCGTAATATATACGATATATACTCGTACATTTATTCATATTTATTATATAAAGTATAGTGCTGTATGGAGATTTCGAGCACTGATAAAACTGATAATCTCACATGTGAGATTGTCTATGATAATTTCACATATCAAAATTATCTCTTTTCTGTAAAAAGTACCGCTTCTTAAAGACTGTCCTTTATATAATAAAGAGAAAAATACATGGATGCTTGGAAATACCAGATTTATTTCGAGTGTTGAACATGATATCTCACCTTGAACATGATATCTCACTCTTGAGATATCATGTTCAACACTCGAAATAAATCTGGTATTTCCAAGCATCCATGTATTACTCTCTATACTAGAAAATACATGCATGCAGAAACCCTTGCATTGCTGACAAAACCATTGCAGACATTCCAACCTCCGAGTCCTCAAAACCGGGATAATTCCCAATCAGTTTCCCATTTTACTTAAACGCCTTCCTCGAATAAACGCCTCACTCAAATAAATGCCGCGCTTTTCTCATAGTGTGGTGTACGTCTATTTGGGTCAGTGTTAAAATTGGTTGAGTTGAGTTTGAATTAAACAATAAAATTACAGTGGGATGCTACAAAAACTAGTTTTATTACACTAACGTTGATACCCATAAGTAATATAACATCTTCTCAACAAGCTTTAATTTCATTGAAGTACTGTACTGGGCCACTGGCAAAATTGTTTCGTTTTACTACTGGCCTTTTGAACTGTGACCCTCTCGTATTTAAGAGCCCGCGTTTATTGCACCCCTGGCAAAATTAATAGGAATTAGGAATTGAAAGCGAATGCTAAGTTGTCAAAACAACTTATGTCACGAGAATTACAATGATAGGCAATTGTTTGGGGAACTAGAAGCTGCCATTTCATTAATATGTATTAAACCAAACAAATTTCATTAATATTTGTCACATGAGCCTTATTTGAAGAATACAACTATTAACATACTTCAGAAACCGGGACAAGAAGAAGAAAACCGGGACAACATAGTCCAAACCGGGACAGTCCCGGGTAAACCGGGACGGTTGGAATGTTTGCCATTGTATTTTCTGAACATGAAGTATCTAAAGTAGTTGTCATGGTAACATGATAATTTTTTAAGAATATTCTTACAAATGAAATATCGCCTAAAAATATTACTTTTAATTACAAAATTATCAATTTCCCAACATATATATGTTAGGTATATTATACGTAATATAAGCTTCAATTTAAGGTAAAATTCAACCACAAATGCTTCACAAAACTTTTCTATATAAACCTAAACTGCCTTTAATTAAATGGCTTTATCGATAAACTCTGAGTTTGCAATAAAATTATTTCAAATTCTCACATGCAAATAACTTTGCTTTCTTTTTTATTTAAAAAAATCAATATAATAAAAAAGGGAATAAATATTAAAGATACACTGAAATTATATGCTGTCTTGTTTAGTTGTTTCATATAGGCAAAGGCTGTCGGATTTTAAAGCAATTATAAAATCAATATTTAAAACAAAGTTACCTTCGTTAACGTCGGCTCCCTTCTTTTAGCAGATTCTTTCGCCCTTTCTTTCTTGAAATTTACAAAATCTTGCAAAAATGCGAGCAAATATGAAATATATTTGCAAGAAATTTATCAATCATCAAATCAAGAAATGTTTGCTATTTTGCTGTCATCATGCAGTCGTTATAATGCAAACTATAAATTGGACCAATCACAGTGTTTGCTATTCATGACAGTCCTCCATATTTTTGAGATCAGTGAGGATGAACACCCACACACAGTGAGCCACACCTGCGATCATTGGTGAACTTTAGACTTCGCTAATGCTTTCGTTTCCCCGGGTGTAAATAGCAGGGGGGAATTAGTACCCTTGCACGGCACTTTGCGCCATCGGCTCAGGGATAATTGTCATCACCATGTAATTCAGTCATTGTACTGCAAAGTGAGTTAATGATTAAACCATCTATCTACTCAAAATTATGTAAAATCTCTGCCCAAAATGGCATTTCAGAAAGCACTCAAGTGCCCTTTTCAAGATTCTGTGCCTGTGGCTTTCATGTAATACAAAATTAAAGTTTTACAAAATTTACAGTATATAATTTATGCAAAGATTGCTAATTTGTCCTCCAGATGCATACGTCACCTGCGCTGTGACATCATGTGCAAAGTGTCTATAAGGAAAATCTAGGATCCTGGAATTTAGTAACAGGATCCTGACTAGGATACTACCAGGCAAATTTACAGGATCCTGAATACGATACTATAAGCAAAATATACCATAGGATGCTGGAATTTAATAACATAATAACATACTAACCATATCATATTACCAGAACAATTTACAAGATCTTGAGTAGGACCCTAAAAAGAAAATCCAGAATCCTGAAATTTATTTAAGAAGATCTCGACTGTGATTTTTCCAGAAAATCTACAATCTTTAAAATCGAAATAATGCAATCATATGTATACAGGTAAAGAAGAATTAGCAAGATCCCGGTTATGATTCTACCAGGAAATACCGGTATCCTGAAATTTAAAGTAACAATATCCCGATTAAATTGATGAGACATGTCCTAAGGTGGAAGCTGAGTTGGATACCGACTTTTAGAATCTATAAGATCTTGGTATTTGTTGTAATTAAAAGTGGTAAGGGACTGGTCATCAAGTAACTGCTATCGTGGGCTGGAGGTAAATCGCAAATTTTGCCAATAAGTTTGGTGACCCATCTTAGGATGTAGATAAAAATTTCAAAGCCCATCCAATTTTACCAAATTTATTTCATGACCCACCCACCCAATCTAAATTGGGAAAATACACTTTTATAATGAAAAAAACTTGCAGGTATGAACATATGTCAATACAGTGCCGGTGTATATCTTTATTTTAGTATATGCAAAAAAGATAACTGGTAACGTTGCCCATAGCCATTCAGCGACGAGCTTATATAATTAAGGCAATCAGCGATTAGCTTACATCAATTGTTTACTTTGTGGTCGCACCTAACCTGCGAACGGGCGTAGTTTGGCCTCGTGTTATTCTTTGCCATATTTTGTCTTCAAAAATATCTTGATTTCATCTTGAATGCCATGTCTTTTTTCACCATTCTACTTGTGATATTATTCCGAAGTTATCTATCAACATGGAAACTTATCCTCATCTGGTAAGTAGTCAAATACCACATATTTTATTATATACAGTATAAAAACAATCATTGTGTAATATTTTAAACAGTCAAAACTCTGGCTGCAGGCATTATATTGCCAATTTACAATATCACAAGAAACTAATGTTCTCGGAACATATTGAATTAAATCCTGGTCCTGTATTTCTGTAACTCTGTTTAAAACAACAGTCCAACTAAGTTCTCATCAAATGTAGTGTTAGAGCAAAGGTAAAGGTGTCATCAGCAGTGGCAGAGCTAGCAGCCCTGCTTCCTGAAATTTCCTTACTAAAACATTGCTTTACTTATCTTGAAGCTTTAAAAATTCATCATTATCATATTGTTATTTTGTCTCATTTTTCATCTTTTTCATTATTATTTTTTAAAAAGTTTTTCGCATTCTGTTATTTTTATGCAATTTTATAGCTTGCCCTGTCTGTTACCTAGCAACTGCAACTCTAAATTGATTTACACGTGACTCGTATTTCAGTTTGGGAATACAAACTTCATTTGTGAAGCCTGTTGTATTGATATAAAGTAAGAACGTAATATTTACCAACTGCCAGTTCATCGGCTTTATGCATTGAGACACAAGCACTTTATATAACTGTACCAAGTTAGATTCACACTGTTTATGTAGATATTCAGCCGCATACACTATATTAAACGCTATATTAATACCGTAGGCGCTATATAAATACCAGAATACTTTGCACCATGGAGGTCATAGATTAAGAAAACAAATTTGGAGATTACATAACCAAGTCAAATGAAATGGTTAAAAATACTTAAGTAAAAATGTGTGCCAATTTGTCTACATGTACCTCTTTTATCTCTATATGCAAAGTATATGACTTGTCATGTTCTACTCTGGATGGATAAACCTGCACGGCATTTCTGTCCAGAAGACTTAAGTATGAAGTGTATGCTTAGTCTTCTGGATAGAAATGCATGTCCTCTTCTCGCATCCCTTCCCAATCTTCAAAACCAAGATGGCGTGGAAGGGTATCATTCTTCCAGCTATAGAAAGCCCCCCGGAAGTCCTTTAGCTGCTTGGCTTCTTCCTCCGATACCTCTCTCATAAACTTTCGCTATATTTAGTGAATAATATTATAAGAATTTTACATACATTGTATACACCCTTTTCATAAATGGCTGCCGATTAAAAATTCTTTTATGTGCATATAAATTGGCCCAACTAGCCTCGTACTCATGTTAAGATTTCAAAGGAATTTCTACCCAGAAACGAGGCTAGTTGGGCCAATTTATATGCACATAAAAGAATTTTTAATCGGCAGCCATTTATGAAAAGGGTGTATAGGCCTAACTACATGATCCGATTCATGGTATACAATTGTTATTCTGACGTATGACAACTAGTGCGGATTCCAAATTTATTCAATCACATACACCAGGGTCAGAATTGTATAGGAAAAATTGTGCCGTGTAGATATAGGCTTTATACAGTACATATGTTTGTGGGAGGAAAGAGGATATAAGTTCTGCCAGGCTTAACTGATTGTTACAATATTATATGGTAATGATACTAGTACACTTACTATCAGGATGATGTCTTTTTTGATTGTAGATGTTGCCACAGCATTGTAGGACTTTCTTGGCCAAGAATATTGGACTTTCTTGGACTTTCTTGGCCAGAATATTGGAGGATGCCTTGACCAAGTGCTCATAGCCATTAATTCCAAGAACCTAGCAAGAAAGTGAACAGACTTGTGACTTGTGGGGCATGATGGTGTGATGGGGCCTGATGCTTAAAGGTATAACAACTGAAAGCTTACTCTTCTGCGTTCCTTGCTCCTCCAATATGAATATCTGCTCGCTTCATATTTGGTGACATGCAGCATGAGCTCTTCTACGGTCAAGCCTGAAGCTGAGTCCAGGAATTCTTCCTCGAGCAATCTCTAAGATTAATTTAATAACATTTTAGATGCAATTGAATACCATAGTTCCCTATTCAGACCTTTGAGGACTTGTTAGAGGAGGGAGGGGGGTGTAAATACTAACTGGATAGATAATAAACTCAGATGAAATAATATCAATATATTAAAGTATAACATCTATTATTCATTTTTAATTTAGATATAGTCAGCACTGACAAGGGACTAAGTAGAGGGTGGGTGTTTATCATATATAGGGGTGTGGAGGCTAAATAAAGGGAAAGTGGTATTCAATTTTCCGAGGACAAATGATCTATGATTGATGTTAGTAATGTATATTAATTTAATAATTGTTTTTGAGTATTAAGTATTTCTGATTGTGAAACAAAAAGTTATTCTTTGTATACCTTTTTATCATCAGTGGCCATTGGATAGCGACCATTCGTACAGTAAAACTGTGCCAGTATTCTGTTGACATTCTCCTGTCAAAAACAGATTGTATAATAATATTGCTACCTAGTCACAAGGACTTGACTAATTTGTTGAAATACATGTGCTTTACTTTTTATACATACAGTGTGACAGCATTTCCCCATGTCAAAGTGACTGGCTTCACTCGTCTTCTTCAAAGACTTAACCATACGAAAAAGCTCTCCCTGTTGCTCAGTCAGTTGAGAAATGCTGCGCTTCAAACAATGGACTTCATCCTTCAGGGACTTCATTTCGTTTATCAGATCTAAAGAAAATATTCTATTCATTCATTCAGGGACACTTCTTTAATATGTGACATTATGAACCATTATCAAAGTTAATAATAGTATTTGACATTGATTCAATCAGTTCTTTTGAACTAATTAGATATTTAAATGATATATCTGGATGTATTCAATGCCATGAAATAAAAACCTTCATTTGTTCTTTGCTCCATTATAACTGCTGTAGTTGCTGCAGTGTGGGAGTGAGCCAGCCTAGACCTAGGCCTTCTATTTTTATTTATATTTTTTTAATATTCAGCGCATTTTCACATGAAAAGACTGGGACTAGGTGATTTGGGGGCGGGGCGGAGGAAGGACACAAGCCTGACGCAAGCGAAAAAATAGAAGGCCTAGTGGATTTCCCAACAACAAGGCCAAAACTGCCCTGAAACTGCCCTGATTGCGAAATGCCCAATTGTTGCATTCTCAAACAGAATTATTTGCAACTTAACAGCGAATTTAAACCGATACAGGTAAAATAAACTCATTTATAGTATAAACTTACTATTTTTATTTGTATACACGTCTAGAAAATCGGGTTTTTTATCATAAAGTTTGATGCAACACTATTATTATGTTGACAAGGTGAAGCGAAAGCACAAAATAATAATTCTTTTCTTCGCAAGACAATCTACTGTTTTGCTTTGAATAACTATATTTGCGAATTGGGAATGAGGATTTTGAAATTATTGTTCAAATATTACGGATATACCATTTGTAAACAATGTACGTTTTTATATACAGTACTGTACAGGCTAATAATATATGTATCCGTTTTATTTAATAAATTATAATTGTATATGTGTTTGTATATTTTACAAACACAAGACTGCTTCTTGCCAAAATTGAGAAAATATATAAATATTAATGTAGTTGTGTATAAGACAAAATTTCATGAAAGATTCTACTTTTGGTATATATTTTGACTCATTTTGTGCTTTCGCTTCACTTTGTCAACATATTAAATAATAGTGTAGCTTCGAACTTTATGATAAAAAACCCTATTTTCTAGACGTGTATACAAATAAAAATAGTTAGTTTATACTATAAATGAGTTTATTTTACCTGTATCGGTTTAAATTCGCCGTTAAGTTGCAAATAATTCTGTTTGAGAACGCAATAATTGGGCATTTCGCAACCAGGGCAGTTTCAGGGCAGTTTTGGCCTTGTTGTTGGGAAATCAACTAGGCCTTCTAGAGATCGGAATCCTCCGCCCCGCCCCCAAATCACCTAGTCCCAGTCTTTTCATGTGAAAAAGCGCTGAATATTAAAAATATACAAATAAGACTAGAAGGCCTAGGTCTAGGCTGGGAGTGACCAATAGCTGAAATAAATACCTAATTTATAGATGAACTGCATGTAATAAGGTAGACATGAATATATTTAAACCAAATTGATAGGGGTGGGGAATTTACTCGGGTCATTTACCTCTTTCTCTGTGCATCCCTGAATTTGCTTATTCTAATGTAGTACAAAAGAAAGATTTTGTTTTTATTTTTGTTAATTGCAGGTAGGATGTAAAATCAAAACATGATCATATATTCAATAACTAACCTCGTGTTGATCGTTCATCATCGTTTGTTTGTCGTGCCGCTCGTTCCCCTGTGAAAATTAACACGTAATGAATACTGGCTAGATTAACCCATTGAGTGGCGATGCACTGTGCTGCACCCTACTTTAGTATTTTACTCTGTGTAACGCCAGAGTATTTTACTCTGTCTAACGCCAGACGATTTTACTCGTCAAGGGGAGAGTGCTGGTGCTTAATGGGTTAACTGGCCTATCTGCCCATGGATGTGTCTAGTTAACCCATTGAATGGCAATGCACCCTACTTTGGTATTTGACTCTAGTCTAACGCCAGACGATTTTACTCGTCAAGGGGAGAGCGCTGGTGCTTAATGGGTTAACTGGCCTATCTGCACATGTGTCTAGTCAACCCATTGAATGGCGATGCACCCTACTTTAGTATTTTACTCTGTTTAACGCCAGACGATTTTACTTGTCAAGGGGAGAGCGCTGGCGCTTAATGGGTTAAAATATGCCTTTTCAGTTTTTACAAATCGTATTGAAGTCTGTCGAACCTGTCAATGTACTTGGCCGTCTTTGCTGACTATTCAGTTGTTGTCCAAGGCTGCTGCATCTTGCACTCATTGCCTGGCTTCTTTGATCTGTTTTATTAAAGGTAGTTATTACAAAAGACAATATTTATCCAATAAATAAACTCAGAACTGCTGCTAGTTGGTGTTTGGACCATACATGCAGTCTGCCTTGGCTGGGAATGTCCTGTAGGTAAAATGATCAGTTTACTAATTATAAGAGCTAATTAAATTACAATAATTTTTGTCGATTCTTTACAATATACAGTACATGGAGTGGACTAACCTCTTGCTCTATTCATCCCCGAACCTTTACTTGTTTTGGCATTAGATGTAAATAAAGCTACAAGAATAAAATAATATAAGTACTTAATTTATATAAAGTTTCTACAAAGTACATCATGTAAAATTACTGTAAATAATAAATATACCCGGTTTACCTTTTCGAGCTGGCCGTTTCTCGTTAATCCTCTCGCTCTCTGTATTGCTGGCGGTTCTTGACTGCACTTCTACTCGGTCTGAAAAGATTATGCAAGGTAAATCTTTAGTTTGTTAAAATTAATATGAAAGTAAATGTAACCATGCTTGTCTAACCTGTCAACGGTCACTTGGACGTGTGATGGCCGACTGACATTGATGCTGAATATAACAAATTGTGGATGTATTTTATTGTACAATGAAAAAAAATCAGAATATATGTACACACACTCTGTAATCGCGTTGTACTCTTCGAGGTACTCTTGTATCTCATTGAATCGCTCTGTCGTTGACCTCGTACTAAAACAAAAACAACATTTAATCTATATTAAACACAACACTAAGAATGAATTTTAAATGTTTATCAAAGATACGAAAACACCAAGCAAACAAATTAATCCTGAGTGGTTCTCTAAAGACTTTTCGGCAGCAGGCGAGCAGCTTCAAAACAAGATACGTCCAAAATACTGTACACTCGACAGAGCGAAATAAATTGATGTTGAACTCAAAAAAGCGGAATAAGTCTGACCTTGACTTTGGAAACAAAGCATCAGGCCAAGGGAAAACCCCAATCATAGTCGGCAGACTCACCATTCGTCAAAACATCGAATATACACGGAGACAATTGCATACTATCTTCGCATGGAGAGTCCAGGACGAAACCAAAAATGCTTAAAAACGAAAAGCATTTTAGTAACCTAACGCTTTTAAAAATGTCCAGCCAGATATGTAAATTATAAACAAGGCTTAACACTTACTCGTTTTCCGTGTCAGCTACACTCATTTCACCTACCCTGACAAGATTGAATTTCTTTCAATATTTGAAAAAAATGGTACCCGGACATTTTGCCGAATCTTTCAATATTTGAAAAAAATGTTACCCGGACATTTTGCCGAAAGACACTTTGCCGAAAGACACTTTGCCGAACGGACATTTTGCCGACGGTCATTTTGCCGAACGGACATTTTGCCGAACGGACAGTTTGCCGAAAGGACACTTTGCCGAAAGGACAACAACTTGCCGAAAATAAAGATGTTATTTCGTCAAAATGTTTGGGACTGTGACTCATTTCTCAACTGTGTAATTCTCAACCATTGTGTAAAATAACCATTATATGGTCATTAGCAGTGCATATAATGGGTCATTAGCAGTGCATAATGGTTGTTAGCAGTGCATAACCATATTGACTATTGGTAGCTTGTTGGTGCAGCGGATGACTCATTTGTTTGGAACGTGTTTTGACGTCAGATCGTAAACAAACAATTGTAATACTATATAAAGACGACGTAAGCGAATTTCACTTCGAGAATCATGGAATACATTCACAGTTTTCGGGGAAATCACATTCATGTATGATGTTGAATGATGTTATTCTTTATATTGCGAATTTTCGGTAAACTTGTCAAAAACTTGAAAGAATATAAAACGAAACTATACTTCACTATCAAAGTTTATGTCGTCAAAATCGACAATGACTTTAATCACAGAAACTTTGACTGTGTAAGCGAACCTTTAAAGTTCAGAAGATATCTCTATTTTCGGCAAAATGTCCAAGTGAACCTTTAAAGTTCAGAAGATATCTCTATTTTCGGCAAAATGTCCTATTCGGCAAAATGTCCGTTCGGTAAAACGTCCGTTCGGCAAAACGTCCGTCGGCAAAATGTCCGTTCGGCAAAATGTCTTTCGGCAAAGTGTCTTTCGGCAAAATGTCCGGCCACCTCGGCAAAATGTCCGGCCACCGAAAAAAATATCACAAAATTGTTTTAAAAAACAAGGACGTGTAAACTCAAAAGCAAAAATCGTTGAATAAAAACCAGTGATAAAAACTTGTCATTTGCTTGCGCGAATTGCTTGCGCGGCATGTTGCGGGAAACTGTTTTTTTGAATTTATGAATTTCTAAAAGTAATAATTGTCCAATCACATGAACAATTATGCTTTTCATTACCCGAAATGGCCCAAATAAGGATGTGAAATGGCGATAGGGTTTTCCTTTAAATTTACAAAAATTTTGCCGGTTTTTCATTCGTCACCAACTGCTTGCTGAAGTCGCACCTTTTATGTATACTGCAGAAAGTTTTTTTTATAAAAAATAAAGTTGTTTTAATCATGAAAAGGACCCGACGACATGTCGAGTGTTGCGACTTGTGTGAAATGGTTCAAAAACTCGCAAAATGAAGTCGATGTTATCGCAAAGTGTATTGATTGAAGAAAGTGACGACGAAGTATTAGACATGCTATTGGATGAAGCGATACCAACAGACACAGTCTTCCCAGACGGATTAATGTCAGTCACTGATACCATTGCTCAACAGGCCGTTTATCCAGAGGCTCATCCCGTACCACCACCGAACAATAATGAGAATGATGAGGAAGCAGTGATACATGGCAACAGTAGATGTGATCCTGGTAACAAAATAAGCGCTTTTTTTCCTTTTCCCGACGAAAAATTTTTTCTGCTGTATTGCTACGCACACAGGATAATGAGACCCAAGGTAAGGGATAGATTGAATTGCTTGTATTAATATTGACTTATTTTTTTGCGTTTTCTAAATCACACACAAAATTGCACCAAAAACACTAATGTCACACGTTAATATGAGGTACGAGTCTCTTTGGCTTTATGGTAAACGCCAAATATAACTATTATTATAATGTATAAATGGCAAAAATTACTGCAATTTAAATGGTCAAGATTGAAATTTTTCATTAATTGTCACTCTCCAGAAAAAAAAGGAACATGGCAGCTCAACTGTATTAAATACAACGTATAATATGTACAATTGCAATGAAAGGAAACCTTTGACCGGGTCGTTTACATAGGCGTACCGGGCGGGGGAGGGGGGCGGCGGCAGCCCCCACCCAGTTTGTTGGGCAGTCGGGTAATATTCACTCAACAGTCGGGCAATTTTGGTTTATTATAAAAATAAGTGGGACAAATTCTGTCAGGTTTGTGGGAAATTCTGTCAATTTTGTGGTCAATTTTGTGATGTTTGGAAAATTTGTGAGATGTTCCGAAAAATTTTGGGTTATTTCGGTTATTTCCGCCCCCCTAAATTTTTCCTTCTGGTACGCCCATGGTCATTTAAGTAGTATTAATGATGTTCGCCTGTACAGGGGCTTAAGTATTTTTTATACAGATACATGTCGTACTGCATAAAAACAATTCCAAAGCATTTATATGTTGGGTTTTTCTATTTTCAGTCGAGAGTCGATTTGGAATTCCTGTGGATGTTACTGGATCGTCTAGGAGTTTCAATGCCATCTCTCGATTCCATTTTATCATTTCAAATAGATGGATTAGAAAACATGCTACCAGTAAAAAAGGTATTTATAGCTAGTGAACAGTGAGAATTCTAAGCCGTAGACATGGAGGATTCACGAATGTCGTATTATGTCGTATGTAAATGTCAGGGTTACATTACAACTACTGTAGTACCCTGCTCACAGGCTCTATACTCTGGCTGACAACGGCCTGTGAGCAGGCTACAACTGTAGTAACGTCTAGGGCTTCCACAATTGAAGGAAGTTTCCTTCAAAAAGACCTGTGGGTAGAATACCCTGCGGCTGTTTCAGGCTAACCTGTGGGGGGAGAGGTCAATATTATAATTGCATATACAGTATTACAATTTTTAATTAAAAAGTGCTTTGTCTCACTTTTGGCAAATTCCCTCCCCCAATATGAGGGCAGCCCTATGCAAATAAGTTTTGAAAGCCCTGGTAACGTCCGTTAACAATAAAACAATGCCATGAAATGACACATTATGCAATCAGCTTTTATGTTATTAATCAGGCATATGGCGATAGGCATCCATTCTACTGGATTCCACCCTCCAAGCATATAAAAATGCAATTGGCCACTCCACATGTTGCTGAACAACTCAACCGATACCCCAAACTGACAGAAAACAAAATCCAAGAGATGTGCCAAGTAAGTATTTTTTTTATGCCTGCTGCCCTGAATCCTCAATGCAACCTATACTATCTTCACTATACCGTAGGGCAGAAAATGGCATGTTTGCAACCATTTTCAGACATCTTCTGCAACCGTCAATGGCCAAACTGTGTTTGTGGGAGATGTTGTTGGGTTTTATGGACGAGACAACAGCAAGGCTTATGGAAAAGTTCAGAAATTTTTGCAAAGGTAAACGTATATCACGAATGCTCGCCTATTTCAAAAATACATTGCACAAATTATGGATATGAATTTAAAATTCTACGTTATCGATCTTTCAGGAGGTGAATAACTGTCTTGAGTTCATGTGTGAGATTCTAAAAGTTTATGTTCATCGCCACATGGTCACAGATTATTTGGTTATTTCGGAAGACCTCGATGTGCTTAAAATCAATGAAATTGACGAGATATGCGAAACTCCCCTGGCGTACAAGGATGTCAATGGTGTTATTTACAGCCTTACTCCAGAGGTACAGTATGTACGATGCTAGGTAAGTCTGAGATGGTATTCATTAAGGTAGCTACTGTAGTCTGAGTTCTGAATCTTATTTAATTTAGGAAATAATTTTCCACTCCACTGCACATCCGGTGAAAACAGCAGCAAATGGAAGGCAGACATTGACTCTTCCACTGGTCATCTTCCTCGACGAAACTAGTGGGAACAGGACAAAGAAATGGAACAAACTGGAAACATATTCCTTTTTTCTTGCAAGTCTGCCTAGAGAAGAAGTTACCAAATTTAGTAACATAAACTTTGTTTGTGTTTCAAATTTGTTACACTCTGAAACTCTGGGCAAAGTTATTGCAGAAGATCTGTTAGGTATACACTCATATGGTATTGAAGATAGTTTTAGTCTATAGTATACACAGAAACGTTTTTACCTACTTAAAATGCTGTGATATACAGCCAAGCTAAGTTTGTCTGTTATGTAATGTGCATATACATGTTTTCCCCTTACAACTTGAGACCGGAATGGTAATGTATGACTCATTTACTCAAGCAGAGATTTTTGTCCAGTGCCCAATCCTCTGTGTCTCATGTGACAATCCAAAGGCATCAGAAATTTGCCATCATCTCGGCAGTACAGCACGGCATTTCTGTAGGGATTGTGATGTAAGTTTTGACTCTGCATTTTGCTATATTTAGGATGTTTTGAATTCAATTAAATAGCACCTGTTGCAATCACCATCTATATGCTCCAGGAATCTAAGTTGGCAGTTAACTCTTATACTAATTATATTTTAATTGTGCAGGCAACATCTGAAAATGCCTTTCAACTGGGTCAACCAAGGACAGACATAGTCGTAAAAAGTACTGTGGCACAGATAAACAATTGCAGGTAATAGCTATAGTTCATTCCATTATACAAATTAAATGTACAGTACATCTATTAATACTTACTACTTCAATTCGAATTTCTGGTTTTCAATGTCTGGACAAAACCAATGTAATCACTTTTGTCTAAACATTAATGGACAATATAATGTTAATCTGATGCAACATGGAATAATTTGCAATGACAATTTGGCATTGCTTACAACTAAAATTATTTGTGTCATATTCGTAGATCTGAAAGGGCAAAAATTATGGTACAAAGAGATACTGGTGTGTCGGAACGTGGGGGGCAGTTTGATATACTGAAGACGTTCGAGGCATGCAAGTAAGATTGTTCTTTCAGAAATTGTATTATTGAATGATTGAAGTAAATTATTACCATGCTGCACATGTAGATCTACAGTAAATATCCTGGTACCCTTTAAAGGCCATTATTGGGGGGGGGGGGGGTGGCAATTTAGGACATACATTATCAAGTTTATGGTAATGTATTTTGCAGAGAGTTGATGAATTAATTACACTTACATGAAATTAACTGAACTGTGGAAATTATTGCAGGCAGACACCAATTGAGATTCTGCATACAATACTGCTTGGCTGTGAAAAATACCTTTTGGCCAAGACCATGAAAACCCTTTCACCTGCAAATAAAAAGAAAGTCTCTGCGAGAATCAAGTCGTTTGATTTCGCACCATTTCCGCAAAAGCTTGTGAGCAACATCCCAAAGACGTATGGCTCCTTGGTTGGCCGTGACATAAAAGTGTGAGCACAAGTTGCTGTATTTGTCCTGGTTGACATTGTACCGAGTGATGAATTGGAAGTGTGGGTTCATCTGAGCAATGTACGATCACTTTACCTAAGATGTTAATCAGTGGCATTACGACTAGCATCAGTTAACTTTATAACAATGTAATGATATTTAATCTATATAATTTGCAGGTATTTTCTATCGCTTATTGTTCAGAAGTCAACCTAAATGACCGTGAAAAAGTTAATGATGTTGTATCTCAGTTCATCAACTCACTGCTTGATATCCATCCGGAATTTCGCAGAAAACCCAAAATTCACATGCTTCTACATATGTTTGACCATATGGTAGAGTTTGGTCCAGCAATTGTAGATTATGCAAGTCTGTTTTAACAGATGCAGTATAATATTAATTATATGAGAGATATGAGACGAGATTTAACAATGCATTATCTTTATTATTCACTCCTTTTTAACGTATTTACAGTGAATTTAAAGTATATCAACTATAACCATAACAAAATAACGTTCTCAGTCCATCCTCACATCACCGCTGACCTGCGCCCTCCGTTCGT